GCGCGCGCTGTATCATAAAGTCTGGCATTGAGTCGACTGGCGTGGTTTCGAATCCCCGGTTGATTGTGACAAGGAGTAGGGGCGCCTGTCCAACCTCGTGGGTTTTCTCCGGGTCCTCCGGTTTCCTCACACGGCTAAAGACCCCTATGCGCACTCTCTCTCTCTCTCTCTCTCTTATAATATGGGGATGAATATAAGACAGGGCACTAAATCTTAGTTTGGGGGGTTTAAGTTGTAGTACTTGACCATTGTAAATATGATTGAGTACGTCACGATAATAGACATACTGTAGATATAGACATACATACTTATCTGGTGTCAATAATATCCTATTATACACACCCCATTCTTTTAATCTTCATACCCTCTAAAATATCTTACTCATATATATACGCTCGTAGAAGTCGTGGTGTAGCTATATATAGTGCTGCATTTACTGAGAGGCCTTTTCACTGCATTAGCCTATACAAAATGTAGGGACTATCAATCTTTTTTGTTTTTTGTCTTTCTAAATTTTTATTTTCAAGAAGAAAAATCTTGTTATTGTGTAACACAAATTGAATACAATAAAGTATTGAGCAAAAACGTAATGATGTATACCACGTTTCCCGTTTGTGACGAATCAAGAATTAAAATTGTAACAATGAAATAAATATTGACAACAGAGTAATGGTGAAATTTCAAATTTTAAAATTTGTTTTTTTTTTATAGTATTGTAATCTGCCAACAGTTATTTACGTTCACAAGAACATGTGCACGTGTGAAACTCGGTTTGTTGCCCCATTCGATGGACAAGACGTTATTATATTAAATTTAACATTCACTTTCATGCTGTGTTTACCGAGAGATCTTTTCACTACACTAGCCTAGACAGAATGTAGATACTGTATTAAATTTAGCATTCACTATCATGCTGTGTTTACTGAGAGGTCTTTTCACTACACTAGCCTAGACAGAATATAGGTACAATTTTAAATTTAGCATTCACTATCGTTACTTAATTACAGGTAGGTTTACGTGAAATTGTTTGCTCGAGATATTGTCGCGGATTATAGTCCCCAAGAAATATAGTCACTAAGAAATGTTGCCATTAAACATACATTATGCACGAGCTAAATCTACCTGTTACATGTCTTTCTCTAAATTATTAATTAGACATTAATTAATTTATCCAGACCATAATCAACTCTTGATACCATCACTGGCCTGCGATGTTTACTGGATTTGGATAATCGAGTCTTTGTTTATTATCGTATCTCGATTCAAGAGTGGATCAATTTGATTGAAATTTTCAGCAAATTCCATTTACATTACATGTATCTAGTTTTTTTTAACTATTTTAGTGAGAACTGTCAACTCTTTATGTAATCTCCCATAATGTATCTTTAAGGTGATATTATATTTGGTTGTACGACTTATGTTTGGTTGCCAGTATACCTGTCTGCGCAATTTACAGATCGGTCAACCGGGGTTGGAGACACAAGGACAACTTATATGCGAATAGTTCAACAATTTGTTCGGTGACCATCCATTAATAGAAATATATATGTGTATGCTTTTTCCAGGCCCCCTGGTTACCAAGGTTACTCAAATGATGTTGAATATTTGTAATGTCGTTTAGTATGGTGTACATCAATTACAAATCGACAGGGACGAAACATAAATTCGGAATATTCACATTATATCTGACAATTTCAAAACGCCCAAACGGGAGACGGCGTTTGAGTAGTGACAAGGAGTAGGCGTGGTATCGATTCCCCGGTTGTACGTGACAAGGAGTAGGGTCGCCTGTACCACCTCATGGATTTTCTCCAGGTCTTGTTAATTTTAAAACTTCAATTGTAAATTTTAAAAATTTAATTGTAAATTTTAAAAATTTAATTGTAAATTTTAAAAATTTAATTGTAAATTTTAAAACTTCAATTGTAAATTTTAAAAATTTAATTGTATATTTTAAAAATTTATTGTTAATTTTAAATATTTAATTGTTAATTTTAAAAATTTATTGTTAATTTTAAAACTTTATTGTTAATTTTAAAAATTTATTGTTAATTTCAAAAATTCAATTGTTGTTAATTTCAAAAATTCAATTGTTGTTAATCTTACACATGTAACTATTGTTAATTTTACACATGTAACTATTGTTAATCTTACACTGTCATGTCATTATTGTTAATTTTACACATATCATTATTGTTAATTTTACAGTGTATAATTAAGATAAGAAATAAGTATATACATACATAGTTGACAACATTACACTTATATATGTGAGTGTGTCGAGTGTTTATTTATTCAAGGAAAATAAAACACGATCTTTATCTTACTGGTATCAAATCTCTTTTAACCTAATTCTGAATAATGGGAAATAACACCACACGTATTCCCTGGCGCATATCCAAGGGTGGTCGGGGGGGTGGGGGGTCCGGAGGGCATATGTTTTGTTTTCTACTTTCATTTTAACCTCACTGCTATATATGTATGTACCTAAATGAAGAGAAATGTTGTCTCAATGATTCTGTTTTATAAAGTTGCTAAGTGGGTAAGACGCTGGCTCGCTAGCCTGGAGGTCACGTGTTCGATCCCTGCATTGGCCGAGATCGTTCATCGGGATTTTCCGACGTGGTTTTCCCTTGTCAGTGGTGCAGGATGGAGGGCCTGACAAGGATAGCTGTCTAGTCGTTCGGAAGGGACGAAAAGCCTAGGTCCCGTGTACACATTGGCCTTCACATAAAAGATCCCTTGGCAGTTGGAATTCGATATAGCACACTGTATGGCGTATGCCCGTCTTCGTTAGCCCAGTCGGAGTAGAACAATAGGACGTTAAACCCCATTTCATTTCTGTTTTATAAAATTCGCGGGTAATTCCCCCTCCCCCCCCCCAGATCTCACGTCAAACTCACGTCAGACCTCACGTCAAACTCGACGTTGTCTCCCACTTTGACCCCCCCCCCCCCCAAACCCCGCTGCTCGAATTCCTGACACGCCCCTGACACCATACGTTGTAACGGTTACTAAATCAGTGTAACAAGTGTACTGTATACTATAGATCATACAATTTGAACGTAAATATATGTCAGTTTTATAGTTTTACATAATAACCGAGTTTACAGTGTTATTTCATATCAGTGGAAATGGTGTTAAAGAATATCTATAACATATCTTTCCTAGTCAGTTACTTTTTGAAATACTTCGGGAGCTGTTGACATATAAAACGTCATTTCCTCTTCTTTTTTTGGGTGAATAGTAAGGCCACAGCATAGATTATTCTGAATTTAAAGGCGATGATGAGAAGAAGATGAACGGTGAATGATATTGTACACACACGTACACTTAATTTATGGAACTATTGATCTTCTTTAGGTTGCTTTAGATTTAACAATCTAAAGTGCTCCTTACTCCGGCCGGAGGAACATCCGAGGACACTTCTTATTTATTGATTAGATCACAAATCCCGTGTGAAATAAACGTATGCTTGTTCAGTTTTAGAACATATCTTATGAATCTAAACCTTGTTTCTCATGGAACACTCTTTACACCAGTCGGAGGAACATCCGATGTCACTTCTCATTTATTGATTAGATCACAAATCCCGTGTGAAATAAACGTATGCTTGTTCAGATTTAGAACATATCTTAACAATCTAAACCGTGTTCCTCCTGGAACATCAAATGCCACTTTTCATTTATTGATTTGATCAGATGATTATAAACCTCGTGTGAAATAAACGTATGTTAGTTCAGATTTGGACTATATCTTATCAATTTTTAAAAAACCGTTTACTATCTAGCACGTGTTTCATTCAGATTATCTATATACAAATCATAAAAACGGTTTTATCAGAAGATACGTGTATTGAAATTATAATGTGTTTCACATATACAACTTAAAATATACTTGTATTGAAATTCTAACGTGTTTCATCATCGGGTTTATATTTCACATGTACAACCTAAAAGAATAAGTGATTAGTGAGTGATTATTTCTAGAGAATTCCCGTGAATGTGGATATTTACAGTGAATTGTGGATATTGTTTACGTATACTCCTGTGAATGTAGATATTTACAGTGACTTGTGGATAGTATTTACATAATTTCATAAAAATTGGATAGGGTTTTTATGGTGAATTGCTTACCGATAAATGCGATGTAAGTAAATATTTTCAGTGAATTATGGATATTATTTACATAATTTCATAGAAAGTGGATTTTTTTAAGGTGAATTGCTTACTGATAAATGCAATGAATCTGTTATCAGTAAGTAATTATTTACAGTGAAATATTGCAGTGAATATCTTCTGTGAGTCAATAGTGTTAATAAATACATGTATAACGCCGTTAAAGGGTGAATATTGAATAGTGTCGCTTTGTAAAGACAGGCAACATGTTAGATACACTATTAAATTTCAGTGTTACAAACATTTTGTGTATTGTGAAAGTTCAATAAATGGTGTGTCTCATTAATTCTAAGCAGTGAATAGTCTAGTGGAAGTCAACATTAAACAGTGAACAGTCAGCAGTGAATAGCGACAATCTAGTGCATTGTTACAGTGGTCATAGGCTACAGCAGTGAATAGTGATAGTTTAATGCATTGCAGCAGTGATTGTCGACAGTGGACAGTAAATGGTGACAGTGAGTAGTTACAATTCAGTATAGTGGCCACCAACTACAGTACTGCATTGTGAAGTTAAGTACATTGCACCAGTGACAACCAACAGAAAATAGTAACAGTCCAGTGCTGTGTTACGGTGTGATTATCAACAGAGAACAGTGACTGTGCAACGAGACAATATTGTACGAAAAGACATAATAATGTTCCTGTGCGAATGTTAACAATTTGCAAGTGCACTTATAATTGGATAGTGAGACACATGTCAATACTGTTCCTTTAAATTTTATGCTGACAAATATAGAAAGTGAAGCGTAATTCGTACACATATGTAACAAAAGTTAGACGACTGGGAATAGTGAATCCTGAAATACTGTAACCGGAATAAAGATGGCTTCGGATCATCAGTTCTCTGTTGTCGATTATGTTGTTTTTGCGGGAATGTTGCTGATCTCGGCCGGTATAGGTGTCTACCACGCATGCGCAGGAGGAAAACAGAAGAGCACTAGAGAGTTTCTTATGGCGGATAAAAGTATGCAGGTACAAGATATTTATATAAGGATGAATTAAATAAAACCCAGTATATTTTAGAACAAAGGTTTTGACTATAGAATTGTGCTTTCTGATTTCCCTTTGTACGTGAAGGACCAGGCAATGGTGAGATCAAAACCCCGTTTACATTTTGGTGTTAACGTGTGAAAATAATTCTTGAAAGTTGGAATTCGACGAATAGGTAGTAGCACCGTTTCCCAGGCAAAATTACCCCCATAGCACACTATCTGACGTATGCTCGTCTTCATCATCCCGTTTGGTGCAGAGAAGTAGGGAGAGAGAGAGAGAGAGAGAGAGAGAGAGAGAGAGAGAGAGAGATGACACAAACTAGGTCATTTCGGGACTGACATATGGTTCAATTTTATTTCAATAATTACCTTGCGCGTAGGGGTCTTAAGCAGTGGGAGGTAACCCTAGGACACGGAGAAACCCCACGAGGTTGGACAGGCGACCCTACTCCTTGTCACGTACAACCGAGGAATCGAAACCACGCCAGTTGACTCAATGACAGACCTTATGATACAACGCGCACGCGCTAACCATTCGGCCATCCACCCCCCAGGAAAGTAGGACATTAAACCCTAAACCCTATCTGTAATAATCTCGTTAAACATTAATCAATGTTGTTATGTTTCAGTTTCTACCCGTGGCGGTCTCGGTGCTGGCCAGTTTTTTCTCGGCATCTACCTTACTTGGAACTCCAGCTGAGATCTATCAGTTTGGCACCATGTACTGGATATCTGTCTTCTCGGCTGTAATGGCGCCACTTACTGGAGCGTTTTTATTCGGTCCTATGTTTTATAACCTGAAAGTCGTCAGTGTATTTGAGGTATAGAATAAGTTTGTTAAGGGTGGGTGGGGGAGGTGGTATTCCTAGATAATATGTTTCAATGGGGAGAGAAAAATGAGGTTTAACGTCCACTCGACACAAACTAGGTCATTTCGGGACTAACATATGGTTCAATTTTATTTCAATAATTCGCTTGCGCGCAGGTGTTTTTTAGTTGTAGGAAGAAACTGGAGGACCCGGAGACCCTATTCCTTGTCACGTACAACCGAGGATTCGAAACCACGCCAGTTGACTCAATGACCGACCTTATGATGCAGCGCGTAGGCGCTAACCATTCGGTCATCCAACCCCCCTTAATATGTTTAATAGTTGTATTAATTATAAGGCAGGCGATCATTCAAATTCTATGCAAGTAAATTTCCATTTATTAAGGCAGTTTAATTGTTTACTAATCTAGTTGACTTTTTCGGGTCAATTTGGACAAGTTTTAAATTTGAGCGCATTTTGCTCTAAAAGTTCCTTAAATTGCATTTTACTCTAAAAATTGCTTAAATTGCATGTTGCTTTGAAAATTGCATAAATTGTATTTTGCTTTGAAAAATGCTTAAATTCTTTTTATTTTTCAATGACAAAACATATTTGCATCCCAAGCTTAAAGAAATGACCAAATATATTCCATTCTGTGTTCAATAAAATTGTTGGTTATTTCGATGCTCCTGCTGCAAAATTAAAGCCAATACAAATTTGCGCATTCGCCACCATTACAGCGACTTACATCCAAAAGATTTTAGATGTTTTCCTTTGAAACACTTCATGGAATAAAATAACACAGCAGACGACTTGAATCGACATGTGTTACCCAACTCATTGCCAAGGCATAAATGCATAACCTCGTCTTATGTTTTCAGTATCTTGAGCTGAGGTTTCATTCGAAAACTGTCCGCTTGTTTGGTGCTTTCATCTTTTTACTTAGAGCGGTGAGCATTCATTACTTACAATCACGAGACAAACGATTCAATTAGTTATCTTCAAATATGAATCGGCAGCTTATTTGATGAACCATTTCCATATTGAAAAGTAATTTCGGGATTAGAGTCATGGCTAGGATTAGTGTTACCTATCTCTAATGATAACACTAAGTCTGTCCTAGTGTTGTCCAAATCGATATGTGGAGGATTTTCGCAACCTGGCCTACAAATTGATACTCACTATCTGATGGTATCAATATCAAATCAAAATGGCGGGCACTAACTCCAAAGTCTTTCTGTAATTTTCAAATGCATTATTTTATATTAGAATTAAGAACTTACAATAACTATATTATATTTGTCTTAACACAAGGTACAATTTTATGGATACACAATTAACACAATTATTGAGTTTAATACTAAGCGACGTTTCGACGAAAGTTTCCTTGTCGAAACGTCACTTAGTATTAAACTCAGTAATTGTGTATCCATAAAATTGTACCTTGTGTTTATATGTTCAATTACTAAATGCCAATCAAAGAGGATATATTTGTCTTGTAGACTCTAGGAATGGGTATAGTATTATATGGACCGTCAACAGCTCTCAGTGCAGGTATGTAGACTATTTAAAACTCGGGGTTCGGTGGCTTAATGGTCTAGCGCATTTTAGATCAAAAGGTCTTTCCTTGAGTGGTTTTGATCTCTCATTTGTACGTGGCAAGGAGTGGGATTGCCTCTCCAACCTTGTTGGCTTGTCCCCCCCCCCCACGGCTAAATACCTCTACGCGCAAGCAAATTATTGAAAGAAAATTGAACTATAAGTTATAGTTCCGTTATCTGGTACAGGTCATAACTATTATTTCATTCGAGTCTCAGAATGACCGAAGTATTATGTTGACATGACTTTAAACATTATTCCATATTTTTTTTTTAAATTTTACTTCCAGTGACTGAAATACCTGTTTGGGTTATCATAGTTTGTGTAGGAGCAGTTTGTACATTTTATACTACTATGGTAAGTTCAGTCAAATTTAAACGTGCAATAATTGATCCTGTCTCGTGTGATTATTTCAAACTTCATCATATCGCAATATTATCTAAAGTAATCACTGCAGTGTTTCAACATATCGTAATATTATCTAAAGTAATCACTGCAGTGTTTCAACATATCGTAATACTGTCAAGTATTCACTGCAGTGTTTCAACATATCACAATATTATCTAAAGTAATCACTGCAGTGTTTCAACATATCGCAATATTATCTAAAGTAATCACTGCAGTGTTTCAACATATAGTAATATTATCTAAAGTAATCACTGCAGTGTTTCAACATATAGTAATATTGTCTCAAGTAATCACTGCAGTGTTTCAACATATCGCAATATTATCTAAAGTAATCACTGCAGTGTTTCAACATATCACAATACTGTCTCAAGTAATTACTGCAGTGTTTCAACATATAGCAATATTGTCTCAAGTAATCACTGCAGTGTTTCAACATATCGTAATATTGTCTCAAGTAATCACTGCAGTGTTTCAACATATCACAATACTGTCTCAAGTAATCACTGCAGTGTTTCAACATATCGTAATATTGTCTCAAGTAATCACTGCAGTGTTTCAACATATCGTAATACTGTCTCAAGTATTCACTGCAGTGTTTCAACATATCACAATACTGTCTCAAGTAATTACTGCAGTGTTTCAACATATCACAATACTGTCTCAAGTAATCACTGCAGTGTTTCAGCGTATCACAATATTATCTCAAGTTATCACCGCAGTGTTTCAACATATCGCAATATTGTGTCAAGCAATCACTGCAAGATTTTAAGTAATCAACATTATCCCAGGTACTATGGTCGGTAATGGTTTGAGAGTATTTCTGCTAATCATATTGTTTCAAATAACTGCCATATACTTTGACGATGCACGATTGAATGGTACAAAATTCGATTCTCACAATCCAATGAAAGGTGTTTTAACATAGAATAAAGTGTATTATCTCGATCAATCACAATAGCTGAAAGGTTTGATTACTTCACGATTCTGCTCACACCACATACGTTTGCATCCGTTTTCACCGAGAGTGGCATCGCAGACAGGTCGCCTTATTTTTGTTATCTTAACTCACGTGCAGGGGCCTTTCCTGTGAGAGGAAACCGGAGTATCCGGGGTAAACCCACGAGGTTGAGAAGGCGCACATATCTCAACGCCACATACCCTCACACGGGGGATTGAAACCACAACCGTAAGCCAGAGGTGACCGGCCAGCTAGAGCTCGAAATGAAATGAAATGAAATGTGGTTTAATGGCATGTCAACTCCAACCTGGCAATATCTAGAGCTCGAAGCGCGACACGATCAATATAAGCGGCCCGTAATGACGGTATATACTTGCGTTGAGATGTAGGTTGTTTTTTGGGATTTTTTTGTAAATTAGAAATATAAAAGGTGTCTTTTAACAGAGTTTTACAGGTTAATTATATTGTATTATACAGGGTGGAATTGGGGCTGTTGATTAATTATATTATATTATGTCCATGGTGGAATGACGGATGTTGTGTGGACAGGTTGACTAATTATATTGTATTTTATAGGGTGGAATGAAAGCTGTAATATGGACAGATGTGTTCCAGACGTTAGTCATGATAGCGGGAATGCTGGCTGTATTTATACAAGTAAGCTAGTACCATCAGTAGTCCTACCATTCATCGTGAAATATATACGACTGGAATGGAATGGGGTTTAACGTCTCGTCAACACAACATTTCAGTCATTTTGAGACTAACAAACATTTAATTATATTATATGATATATTATATGGAAGTCCCGTGTTCTAGCGCGGTGTTGGTCAAAGGGACGACAAATCGAGGTCCAATGTAAAACAGTGGCGTTTTTCTGACGTGGTTTCCTCTTGGCAGTGGTGCAGGAAGGATGGGACGAAAAGCCAAGGTCCCATACACGTAAAAGAACCCTTGACACATGGACTTCGATATAATAGTCCATGTGACAGACCTGGGATTTTGGAACATCATTACCAATTTGATGAATAAATTCAACCATGATTTTCAGTTAGCCTGGTGGCTGAAGTGTTGAAATTTGGTTGATGGACTTCCGGGTTACTTTGCTAAATTGCATTTTGGCGGCCATCTTTAAAGATGGCCGCCGTTATTTCATTGAAATTGAGCGCATCGGGGAAACCTTCATAGCTCCTGAAAAGATCGACCTATGGATATGGAATGTGGCTCACAATGTTCACAAGAAAATGCTTCTTCTGGTGCTATATGATTCTTGTTGTTGAATGAATCATATATTTTCCAAATCAACAGATTATTCTGGAAAAAGCAACCTTTTGGCATTTTTATTTTCCCAGGTTTTCATGATTTATTTTATAAGTTTACTACTACAGCTGCGGTGGCCGCAAACTCAACAAAAGTCGTAAGTAGACTGTCAAATTTAAAATGTTGAACGTCGGCGAGGCAGGGCACAAACTTAGTGAACTTTTAGCTAGTGTGTCACAATCAAAACGATATTTGGGGACGGGTTGTTTCTGTGTCAAAATTTGTCCCTAAAGACAATTTTGAGATTATGTTACTTCTGTGACGTCATTTTCGGTTGGGGTTTTGTCCGATGTCCAAAATGACCGCAAGGGAGCTAAAGATGATCCGAACAATTATAGGCCAATCTCAATTCTCCCCACAATTTCAAAGATATTCGAAAGGCACTTGAGCACTCAAATTCAAACTTATTTGGAAACCTTCAATGTTCTTTATGCTTACCAATCTGGATTTAGATCAGATCATTCATGTGCTACTGCACCGATCCGAATGACAGATAATTGGCTTGATGCTATCGATAATGGTGCGATGAGTGGTATAGTGTATCTTGATTTTAGCAAAGCATTTGATCTCATTGATCATAAGCTTATTATTGAAAAACTACATCTTTATCGATTTGATAATAATTCACAAATTTTGATTGAATCATATCTTGACTCACGGAAGCAAAAAGTATGTTTAGGATCAATTACCTCCTCAATTACTACAGTCAAATGCGGGGTTCCACAAGGGTCGATCGTGGGTCCTCTCCTATTCCTTATTTTTATAAATGATTTCCCACTCAATATTGAATCAAGTCAGATAGATTTGTTTGCTGATGACAGTACCCTGCATTGTTCACACAAAGATATTTAATCCATCGCCAATAATCTCCAAAATTATCTCTATTTGGTTGCTAAATGATGTGAAAACAATGGGATGGTGATCAATCCTTCGAAAACAAAATCAATGCTGATTTCATCAAAACACAAAAGAAATCAGAAAAACCTAACTTTATCACTCCATGGTGAGAAAATTGAGACGGTTACTACCGCAAAATTACTTGGAATTCAAATTGACCAAGACCTTAATTGGGAAGCACAGATAGCAGATATGTCTAAAAAACTTGCATCAAAAATATTTCTCCTAAATAAGATAAAAGATCATTTACCTTACGAGACAGGAATTTTGTTTTATAACAGTTACATACTACCAATATTTGATTATTGCTCTATTATTTGGGGAAATGCTACCAAAAGTAGATTAGACATTCTTTTAAAATTACAAAAGAGGGCAACAAGAACTATTCTTGATGCACTGATTGAAACTCCGTCCACCTCTTTATTTACTAAACTCGGTTGGCTTACCCTTACACAGAGGATTCTTTACAATAAAATTGTCTTAGCATTCAAAATTATTACATTTAATACTCCACTTTATCTAAATTTCTATTTTATTGAAAAATCTCTTGTTTCCAAAACCGATATCTTGCTCCGTTCACAGACCAGTAAATCTCTTTTTCTTCAAAATTGCAAAAAAGAATCCATGAAACGTACTTTTCATTATTCTGCATGTCTTTTATGGAACAATCTGCCTTTTGATATAAAGATGTGTAAAAATGTTGAAAATTTTAAGATTAAACTGAAAAGTCATTTATTTTGCACACTGAAGGAACCATAATATTCAACTGATGACATACTTATTATTTTTAACTTGCAACTGCATTCTATTTTATTTTGTGTGTAATTATAGTGTTCTTCCTATTTTCTACTTGTATAATGTATATGTTTTGAAGTTTGGGAGTGACTTATCAAACTTCCCACTTTAAAATGCTATTGCATTTCTAATGATTTTAAATTTATCCTGATATTACATGTATATATGTCTTTGTAGCTTAGGAGGGACCTATGGAAGATTAGTTTTTTTGCAAACTAAATACGTTGCCTCATTAAATAAAGTTTTTATTATTATTATTATTATTATAGTATCATGCAAGGTAGGGCTTGTGATATATCATGTATAGGGTTTTCGTAGCCACTGAATTTAAAATTGAATTATTTATTGGAATTTTCGATGAAACGGAAAGGTTTGTTCCGCACAGGTATTAGCTTAGAAGGGACAAATACAATTTGTAGAACCAGATATTTGATGTTAGTGAACCCATTTTTCTAGGACACCTGTTTCACACGAAATCTTATTTTCTATCCAGACGAACCTTCAGTATAATAATCTATATGCATACAAAGTTTATGAAAATACACATTCAAGCAGCATTTAATATGGTCTACCACCTGTAGGACACTCCCTTCAACTTAAAAATAAATTGTTTATTGGAATTTTCGATTAAACGTAAACTTTCTGTAAAATGTAAAATACTCGACTAATATACCAGTTGTAACATGTTTAACATCATATCTTTCCACGCGAATTAACAATAAATTGTTCATTCGATAAAACGGAAACATTTTTTATACTTGTAAAATAAATACCTATTGTGTATATGATACGTTGAAGTCTACCATGTAATACGGAAATTTGCAACACGTTTATAAGCACCATATCTTTCTACATGAACTAACAATAAATTGTCCATTGGATAAAAAGGAGACATTTTTTTTATATATATAACTGTAAAATAATATATGAATTATCGTTTTAACATCATATCTTTTGCCTCCCTTTTCAGGGATGGACACTCAAAAGGAGTATGGTAGTTTCGGGGGTCCCTAAACTAGTCAATGTTCTCGCGTAGTTATGAATTTATGTCGTTTTTGATGAATTATTAAGATATATGCATAAGCTAAAAACACCAGGATATACTCTAGAAAGTACCATTTAAATTACAGTCAGTTTTTTCAAAAGAAATTTCAAGTCTGGTTGTAGAGAACCCTGTCGTTCACCTCACGGAGCAAAGATAAGCCTGTCCTATCCTAGGTATCATATGTGTAATTTTATGTCAACTTCACAATTGTTAGTATAAATATAACATTTACTTGACAATTATCACAATTTTCATCTGGCCTTAAAATATTTTAATTGGATTTGTGTTCCTGGTGTTATAAGCTTTCCAAATATGTATAGTTTGTTTAATAGGGAGGACCTTGTAGCGGAACTGTGTTTCTAAGCAAGCTAAAAATTTTGGTTGCAGGCCTACTAGACTATACGACAAAAGTTGCCGGGCATAGAGGCGTTAATGTAAAAACGGACCACATTACCATTTCTGAACGAATAAGAGATCTTAAATTCTTAACAACTGGATATATCATAAATAATTCTCAATACGGCTTAAAATGGTGCAAAGGCATAGTAGATGAAATTAAAATGACTCACTATTTTGGTGAAATGTCTTGTGATCTGTGAGATCCAAAATAATCAATTCCATATTATGCCCCATTGTATTGTTTATGGGGTGTGTGTGTGTGTGGGGGGGGGGGGGGTCGCATAGGATGTGTCATTTTTAGCAGTATCATTAACATCATTTTCAGCATTATTTTTGAGTTTTTATTCATGTTCAGTGACTCTGAAAACCTTATAAAAGAGACATTATAAGCTATATAAAACAGTCATTCATGTTATGGAAATTCTGACCGCCATTTTGAATTTTCCCCATCTTGGATTTTTAAAACTCTTTGTTTAGATTAAACAAACATTGTGCAAGAGCTAAATCTGCCTATTGCAGGTCTTTCTTTAGGCCTGAAATGTTTTCTATATTATTATTTAGACATTAATTAACTGACCCAGGCCATAATCAACTCTCGATGGCATCGGATTTCTCCGATATTAAATAAATTAGAACGTATCAGTCATATTTTGATTTAATCTAAAAATGGAGGAGCGAGACTTAGCTTCGAGCAACCAGTACAGTTGTTGAAATTATTGCACGTGTCTTGTCAAACCTTCAAAGGCTAATATCTTCGCTTGCAATAGAGTAATTTGAATGAAATTGTCAAATTATTCATTTTACATTATCTATTTTCGAACTATTGTAGCAAGAATGGCTAGCTCTTTATCTAAATCTTACGTAATGAATCTTTAATTGTAAGCTCATTGGATAGTACATGTCATATCAAACAATGAAATGACTATTATCTGACATATTGGCCATTTTAGGAAATTTTGTCGCCATTTTGAATTTCCGCCATCTTGGATCTGGGACACTCATATTTGAGATTATTTTTTATGATTAATGTTTCTGATATCTATTCAATCACTTAAGTTGACCAAACAGATAATTTGGCTTATATGGGTAAACATACGAACAGACATGAAAAAAAAATCGAAAATGTTGCTTTTTTCAGATTAATCTTTTATTTTAAAACTGATAGTATTGATTAAACAACATATATCATATACCAGCAGATGCAGAATTATATTATGAACATTTTGAGATATATTACATATCCATATAGGTGAAACTGTTGAGGAGTTATGAAGGCTTCCCCGACTCGCACTATTTCAAATAAGAAAAAAAACGGCGGCCATTTTTTTTAAAGATGGCCGCCAAACTGACATTTGGCAAAGTGACCCGGAAGTCCATCAACCTATTTTGGACACTTTAGACCTAAGGCTAACTGAAAATCATAGTTAAACCAATTCATCAAATTGGTAATGAATATCTGCCTGTCACATGGACTATAAGAGCCCGGGCACAATTCCCTCATGCCACACTGTAGGATGTTCAACCCCATTTCATTTTATGCTCGCGTAAGGTATTTCGAAAACAACTAAAACATTGCGGTTGGAACCTGTACAACTCAGCAATGGATTGACCGATTGTCTGCACAAAGCGGTAGAGTCTCTTTAAAACTGTAGGCATTGGTTTTAAGCAAAAACATATTAAATTTTACACTACTCACATAACATTCCTGCGTTTTTTAGTGTATATACTAAGCAGCAAAAAAAACCACGTCAGGTTGGTATGTGTAGAACTGTAGGACTTCTTCTTGTGTTTATTTTCTGGTGATCTTTAACAAGACTACAGCATAAAATAGTTTCACAACTTTATTTCTAAGTTGTAATGGGTTTGCAGATTCCTCGTTCTCAATGATAATGGCTGCTAGGAAATTCTGGATGAGTTCTGATTCAACTCGCTTCTACACCCTAATTTATACCCCCTAATTTCTGCAGGTCTTCGATAACCTTGACGTTAATTTCCAACCCATATATGGAATAAACTTCTTTATTTCCCACAAGTAAGATAGGAGACATTACCTATTTTTGGTCTACCAACCATAGGTCAATAAACAGCCAGAATTTGATGGATATTTTGACAATGATTATGATTTAACCAAAATATCACTTTTTTATGTATAACTATATATTCACGTTCATTAAGTACGTGTGATTTAACTCTATAGACAGAGTAAAGTAACAATTTTGCAATGTACCAAAATTGTCTCAAGGACCAAAGTGTTACATATGTTTTTCTGAATAGACGCATTGCATAAAACTTTTCATTTGTTTTTATTGTATATTTGTACATTTAACCCTTTCTCAACATAACATTTTTCATTACTTGCAGCTATGAGGTATGGGTTTTTTGGGTTCTTTTTTTTTTGCGCTTCAGCTAATTCTGTAATGGGGACACCTTGCTTATTTACTAGGGGTGTATCAATTGGTGATCTAATTCAATGTTTTGTCCATTTACTAGGGGTGTATCAATTCTGGTGGTATTGCTGAAATATGGAGAATATCCGATAGAGGAGGAAGAATCTCGTTTTTTGAGTAGGTAAAACATCGTATATTTAAGATCTTACAAATTAAACATTTCAAATCTTCAAGTCTGATCATAGATATGTAATCTGTTCGAATGTAATTAACTGGGGCCTGTTTCACGAAATTTTAAGATAAAAATTACGTCAGACCCTATTACGTCAGACATTTAATTAACCAACCAGGATTGATGTTACATCGCAATGGACGCTTACGACTGGCCCCGTACTGTGTAGTTGGTGTCTTATCCACAGGTTTGTCCTTGCGTGTAGTGCGGTCCCACTGTGGCTCAATTTCAACACAATAAACGAGAATCAAACTATTTAAAGATACATTATGGGAGATTTTTATAGAGAGTTGGCCATTCTTGCTATAACAGTTCAAAAGTAGATGATGAAAGAAGAATATATTGAAAAATTCAGTCAAATTACTTTATTCTGAACATAGTTATCATCGTTGTAATATTTGCCTAGAAATGGTAGCGAATTGTGTCTTCACCTTCGCTGATCGTTTGATTGACAGGCGTTAACTCTTGCACCTACATATCTCGATTATCCAGTAAAGTTTTCAACGGCATACCGAAACGCTTTACAGCGGCCTCGCTAAGTACACTCTATCATTTAGCCTCGATCTAACTGACGTATTTTCATCAGGTTACCCCTTATTTGATTTAATTAATTAGTGAATCCTATTTAAATCCGAGCTGTAGCCGAGCCATCCGTGGGTCTACAGAGTTGATTTTGGTCTTGTTGTTTAAATAAAGATCTAATTTATAATTTCTATAACATCTGAAGCCTAAATTAAGACTAACCCAATTAAACCTAAATTAAAAAGATTTATCAAATATTTTGTCGATGTTATGTAAATATCTGTATATTTTGTTTCAGTTTTAATCCCGACCCCCATATACGCCATTCATTCTGGACTTTAATAGTGGGTATATATTTTGTATGGTTACCACCTTATACGGTTGATCAACAGATGGTTCAAAGATTCGCTTCAACTAAATCTTTAAAACATGCAAAATGGTGAGCACTAATATATCGTAGTATTACTTAGAAGCACAATCATTTAATAGTGTTCCATAGAGGCACAGTAATATAATAGTGCTACATAGAGGAACAGTAATATACCATTCAAAAAAAGTAGGGGATATTTGATTTTGGGGGCATAATACTAAAATATGCAAATGACTACGAAAAAAGTCACTATAGAACCTAACAGAAGAAACATTTCCAGTTACATGTGACGCCGAAACGCACCAATAGCTACCGCATGGAATGCAGGTGATGCTTGGGGTCATCATGGGGGTCCAACCCAAGATTTGCACGACTCTGACTTTGAATGTTACAGTCATTGTGGCATTGAATTCCAGGGTGGAAACATCAGTTTAATTGTTTTAGTGACCAGAAAACAAATTTTGATATGCGTCGGCTTGCCCAAAATGAAAGGTTACGTGCCCTTGGCATGCTACAGATCGGCACAACACAGGCGGTTGTGGCGCGGACGATGAATGTTTCTCAGTCTGTCATAAGCAGGCTATGGTCCAGATACCGTGATACACAATCTGTACAGGACAGACCACGCTCAGGTCGACCAAGGGCGACAACTCAAGCCCAGGATCGATTTATCCGTACCTTGGCCTTGAGAAATCGTGTCATCACAGCAAATCAGATCAGCGCTCGTCTTCAAACAGACACTGGTGTGAGAGTGAGTGGCCAGACGATTCGGAATCGACTGCATAGGGGTCACCTTCGCGCCCGACGTCCTCGCGTGATCCCTTGTTTGAGAGATCATCACATTCAGGCAAGACGTCGTTGGTGTAGGGATCGTCAACACTGGGATAATCGACGCTGGAGCAATGTGATGTTTTCAGATGAGTCAAGGTTCACTGTTGATTTTTTGGACAGACGTAGGAGGGTGTGGCCTCGTCGAAACGAGCGCTTCCAAGACGTTAACGTCATCAGACATGATCGATTTGGGGGTGGTTCTGTTATGGTGTGGGGAGGCATCACTGTTGCTGGAAGAACGGCTTTACATGTTGTTACAGGGCGTGTTACAGGCCAGTACTACCGGGACAACATCTTGGCAGTCCATGTTGTGCCGTTCGCACGACGTCATGGCCGCCGTTTCATCTTCCAGGATGACAACGCAAGATGTCACAGGGCCAGGATCGTTACAGGTTACCTCCAACAACAGAACATCACCACATTACCTTGGCCAGCACTGAGTCCCGACCTCTCCCCCATCGAGCATGTCTGGGACATGCTTGGACAGAGGTTACGTCAACGTCAACAACGTCCTGCCAATATCCAAGAACTTGCTGCTGCGTTGCAACAGGAATGGGACAATCTGGACCAAAATGACCTTAGACGTCTCATTAGGAGTATGCCACGTCGGATCAATGCTTGTTTGGCAAACAGAGGAGGATTTACCCGTTACTGACTTGGTTGTGATGCTGTGGTAACTTTGCTGTTTGACCCCGGGTATCATTTTACCCTTATAATGGTCAGTCTGTGCCTTACTTAGTCTAACGATCATTTGGAATAAATCGATGAATGTGAACTTCATTTCATTTTGTCATTTGTTTCTTCGTCAGTTTCATTAGGTGACTTTAATAACACTTAAAAATCAAATATCCCCTACTTTTTTTGAATAGTATATATTGATGTTACATGTACATAGAGGCATGATAATATACCGTAGTGTTACATGGAGATACAATAATATATTGATGTTACATATATTATAGACATGATAGGCACAATAATACATTGATGTTATGCACAATAATATATTAATCTAGATCCCAAAAGTTAAACCATTTTAGTGGCGGATTTAGCGGGTAACATAAGTTGTTAGAATCTTTAATCAATACAATACCACTGGGTTTATGGTTTTCCTGGGCATTGTTTATTACGTACCCGTCGATGCGATTTGTGTTAATATAAAATGTTTTTTCAGGGCATTATTGTTGAATATACCGGGAATGTTTATTATAATAACGCTGTGTTCTGTTACCGGTTTGGCTTTATACTCTCATTATGCTGATTGTGATCCTCTAAAGAATAAAGACATCTCTAATCCAAATCAGGTACTTTATAAGGGGAGATAACTTATTATGTAATTATGTGGATTCAGACTAGCAATTTTATCCGTGACATTTCTATAACAATGTTCAGACCATTTGGATGATCTTAAGGGAGGTGGCCATTTTGATTTTTGCCAAGCCTGCTCAGATGGATCTATAGGCGGTGACGTCACCCTATTTAATGTGTGTTACTGTTACTTCCTAATCCATCTGCCAGGAATATAATGAAATGAAACAAAATGAAATGAAATGACTTTAACGTCCTACTGTTCTGTTCCGACGGGCTAATGAAGTCGGACAAACGCCATACAGTGTGCTACGAGGGTATTTTCGCCAGGGCAGCGGCGCTGAGGCCTACTCTTGTTCGAGTTCCAACTGTCAAGGGATCTTTTACGTGCACGCCAAACCTGAAAGAAAATGGAATTTAAGAAAAATACTATAGGTCTAGATATTTTGTGGAATTAAAAGATCAACCATGTGTTATTAATCATCAGTCGGGGACCCTGATCCGTAATCTACGGTGGAATATACGTAAATGCTAGGGTCTAATATTCACAGCTATAATAATATCGCGCAAGAAACCAATACTTATCACTTTTGTTGTAGGTTTTTATTAATTGAACATATTAAACCAAGGTATAGTTTTAAGGATAAATTTGATACATTCAGTTGTCTACTCTTATATCTGTCAATTTACTACAGACTCACTTTTAACTCAACCTTTAGTTTCTATAATTGTTTTGTAGCTTTTGCCTTATTTTGTACTGGATATTCTGGGCCATCTTCAAGGTTTACCAGGCCTTTTCGTTTCTAGTTTGTTCAGTGGGGCACTCAGGTAAGTATTTCGATGGTTTTTCATAATACCTGTCAGTACATGCGAGGTGGTTAGATTTTTCCAGGACAGTGGCGATTTCGGCTACTGTTCTTCCATATTCAGTTATTTTAGTTGTGCACGCAAATGTTCATCCCAGCTAAAATGCACACTTTTTTGTCAGCCCCCCTCGCACCACACCTTAAGAGTGAATCCGGACTTGACAATTCTTGAAGATTCTAGACATGGCAAGGTTTGGGGGCGTTTGGAAAAGTGGACCATGGGAAGATTCGTCTCAACCCATTGTGGGAGTCGAGTCCGAGACATTAACCTGACCCCTCGACTACCGGGAAACTACCGGTAGTCATAAAATGGAAACACTATTCATTTAAACAATCGTGTTCCTGTCCCGATGAATGTTCTGATTAGTTTTCGGCTTCTGAAACCCAGGCCCAAGCTATAGGTTTTATTAATTAGTGACGGGTATCGTGCACGCCCAAGGATATGCTTATTATTCTATAAAATCTTATATCACTTGATGAATTCACGAACGTTTCTTTTGTGTGTGTGTGTGTGTGTGTGTGTGTGTGTGTTTCTGTATTCATTGTCATCATAATCGACATTTTGAAACAAACAAAAAAAACCAGAAAACTTTTGGTAATTTAAGTATATATGCAAACCATTTTGTTTTTATTTCTAGTTCAGTGTCGTCCATGTTGAATTCCTTGGCAGCTGTAACATGGGAAGATTTCTTAAAACTAAAATATTCACATCTACCAGATGAAAAGGCAGCTATAATCACAAAGGGATTGGGTAGGTATCGTTGCTGATCAAGGGAGGTTTATCTGGATGAGAGAGAGAGAGAGAGAGAGAGAGAGAGAGAGAGAGAGATGGGTTTAAAGTCCACTCGACACAGACTAGGTTATTTCGGGATTATCATATGGTTTAATTTTATTTCAATAATTCCCTTGCGCGTAGGGGTCTTTAGCAGTGGGAGGAAACCGGAGGACCCGGAGAAACCCCACGAGGTTGGACAGGCAACCCTACTCCTTGTCACGTACAACCGGGGATTCGAAACCACGCCAGTTGACTCAGTGACAGGCCTTATGATACAGCGGGCACGTGCTAACCATTCGGCTATCCAACCTCCCTTATCTGGATGCATTCTAGGATAATTTATCGTGGTGCTTAAAACCTGCCTACCCCCGAGACTTTAATTCAGGTCTGTCGGTTTTCTCGCAGTGCTAAAAACGTACGCACAAGCGAATTATTAAAACAGAATTGTACCAAATGTTAGTTCAGAAATACAGTAGTTTGTGTTGAGTGGATGTCAAACACCATTTCTTCAGGAACACCTATTGAACATTTTGCTTCATATTTTGCAAAGTCTTGAAAGATTTTATTTCCAAGTTTTTAAGTTTTGGACTTGAACAACTTAACATTAATACCAACTCAAGTAAATGGATTGAGGGGGTCGGTCGTAAGCATCTACTGCAGCATCTGCTGTACTGTGCAGTCCCAGACACTGCTGTTGAACAAAGGATATCTGGTGAAGCTGCCGTCATGGACAAAGAGTACCTGGCAAAGCTACCGTTCTAAACAAAATGAGTTTAAGAGTAAAATAATGTGGTTTATTTTTTACATTTTCCTTTCAGGCTAGCGTGGTTATGTCCGAAAAATTAATGATTAACGATTAATTAAGTGGATAAATGATATTTTGTATATTTCAGTGTTTATATATGGATGCTTAGGTGTTGGGGTGGCGTTTTTAGTCAAGGAATTGGGAGGAACAGTTTTACAGGTGATATTGGAGTTCTGTTTAAAACAGTTATCAAGACAAAAACACGATGTTCAATTTTACCAGACATCGGCATTACGACCTACTCTTATTTCCAGTTCCAACTGTCAAGGGTTTTTTTTTACGTGCACACCGATGTGTACGCGTGATCTTGTTTTTCGATTCGATCTAAACACTGTTCCTTGTCAGACTCTCCTGACCTCTTGGTTAGCGAGCCAGTGTCTTACTCACTGCTCATAGGGTTTAATGCGTGGGGAGGGGGGAGCCGAATTGTTATCACGTGCGGGCTTTATCATAAGATCTGTCATTGAGTCAACTGGCGGGGTTTCGATTCCCCGGTTGTACGTGACACGGAGTAGGGTCACCTGTCCAACCTCGTGGGTTTTCTCCGGTTTCCTCCTACTGTTAAAGACCCCTAAGCGCAAGCGAATTATTGAAATAAAATTGAACCATGTGTTAGTCCCGAAATGACCTAGTTTGTGTCGAGTGGACGTTAAACCCCATTTCTCTCTCTCTCTCTCTCTCTCTCTCTCTCTCTCTCTCTCTCTCTCTCTCTCTCTCTCGTTTAATGCTGACATAGTAAATAGCTTAATTTTTTAGTTGAATTCGAGAATATTTACTGTTTAAATAAAATAACATTTACAGGGCCAGGTTATTCTGCAACCAAAAACTACATTGACAAAAACACATGGATTTCATTTATTTTTTCAGGCTTCCCTGACTTTTAATGGCGCTGCTGGGGCACCGTTGGTAGGATTATTTATTCTTGGAGCTTGTTTTACCAGTGCTAATTGGCTGGTAAGTAAAATTCTTGCAACTTTTTATTTTGAGACTGACATACGGTTATGGTTTCTATGGTGACACGTGCAATGCTATGGAGAAGAATTTTACCCGGACATGTTGTGTTTCCGCCAACTCTTCATCATTGCCAAGGACCTTGTGGGTTTTCTTGTGGGTTTTTTTTTAATCCATCTAACGGGTTTATAAATCTGAACGCGTTCATCGGCAAACTCGAGACTTGAGGCTCAAGGCAAACCTCAACACTACGAGACACCCTCTCATAAGCCCTAATAAAAAGAACTACTAACTCAAGCCCCATAAATTCACTAAATCCATTTACTGTGAGGCTCCTCAAACTCCAGATTATATATACGCCATTATATGTCAGTATTTAGTCTAGCAACATTGCCGGAACTAAAGTTTAATTTGTATGATTTTGTGTTTTATCAGGGGGCGTTTGTAGGAGGTATGTTCGGTCTAGGATTCGGTATGTGGCTGAGTATCGGTGCCTATATAACTAAACCATTGGACTTCCAGTTACCCACATCTACAGATGGTTGTAACATTACGTCTAATATGTCGTCATTGATGATGTCATCAACAACAACACCAGTATCCATCATGTCCACGTATTCACCTTCTGATCCAAGCAAACTGTAAGTAACCAGGGCGTGCTTAATTGTCATGGCCACATTCTGGTCCCAATAAACTGTACGTTACCAGGGCGTGATGTTCCGTAATCACCCCCGATCCTGGTAAACTAAAGGTCACGATGTGTTTGTATATTGCCCGATCTAGGCTCCGGTACTTCTATTCATAATCGTTATACTCTACAGTGCTTGCACCTTTCCTCTCGGACTTCACCCTACAGTATAGCACTAGGAATATGATTTGAAATTTAACTGCTAATAAAACCTGCATCTACTATTTTCGAAAGGAATCCAGTTTCCAATTTCACATGATTAGCTCCCTTAAAAACTCACCGGTTTTAATCCGACTGAATCAATGCCGACTAACTACCTACAGTTAATATATTTTGTTAATTAAATGTTAAATAATCAATTGGGAGTACATTTTAGCGTGAAAAAATCATATATGATCTGAAACATGTAAATGATGGTCGGCGGCTTTAAAATAATCATGTGTTGTGCGTTCCAGAGTATTTACTCTTATTTAATTTGTAGAGACGGTTATATGATTTATAGTAACATTTGTTAGTCGTTCGGATGGCACGAAAAACCGATATTCCGTGTAGTCGTCATACTCCTGGCAGTGTTTCGTTTAATTAGACCTAATCTTACTCCAACCATTGTTTCAGGAATATGTGTATTCGTTGGCATACACATTACAGAACCCTTGACCGTAGACCGTAGCGCAGCTGTCCGGGAAAAAATTTCCCTCGGTCATAACCCACGGTATGGTGTGTACGCCCGTCTTCGTTAAATCCCATTTCATTCCATAACATTTGTCTCCGTAGAACACCAAGATATCCTAATACATTTAACAACTATATTAATATCTGATTTGTAGAGAAAGTTTAGAGAAATTATATGGTTTATCTTATATATGGTTCAGTTTGCTGGGTATTTTATCAACTGTAATAATTGGTCTTATTGTTAGTTTAATAACAGGTAATATATACTAATATTTGTGGTGTCTGTCTGTTCAGGGTTTGCGACTACACTAGGGCTGTCCCTAGGCTGAAATGTCGTGTATAGGGGTCGGTCGGCCTGGGGAAAAACATAGGCCTGGTGGCGATGGATTACCACTTCCGGATTCGAAGTTATGGCGCGAATTTTGCCCCCTTCCCCCGGGCGAATTTGGGCCCCGGGCGAAGTCGTGTAAAGGTAATATATAAATAACATTATGCCTATATATCCTAATGAACAAGAAAATTATTCGTTTGTATTTATTACAAAGTCACAGAGAAATTAACAACAGAATTTTGCTATTTGAAGATTTCCCAGCTTTTTAACCGGTCGATGTGAATACCGCGAACTTCTAACCGGGAATGCGTGGTTTTGTGGTTTTCCATAGATTTAACAGCCTAGTTGCTAAACACATCACACTTACGTATAACAATTGGTTGCCTTGGTAGCTCAGTAGTTCACTAACCTAGAGATCCTGAGTTTGATCCCTGCGTTGGCCGAGAAAGTTCAGTGGTGCAGGTAAGATGACCTGGTAAGGGACAACGTCTAGTCGTTCGGATGGGACGAAAAATCGAAGTTCTGTGTACACATTGACGTGCAAGTAAAAGCTCGCATGGCAGTTTGAATTCTATACAAGAGTAAGCCGTAGCGGCGCTGTCCGGGCACACATCCTCTCATAGCACACTGTATGACGTATGCCCGTCTTCATTAGCCCAGTCGGGGCAGAACAGTAGGACGTTAAACCCCATTTCGTATTCTTTTAAATTGAACTTTCCTCCGCATCTCCTCATATCATAGATTGAGAAATAATTAATACATTGACACACGATTTCAATTCACCGATAACCGATTGTGTTTTCTTTCTATGTAAAGGATATACCAAATCTGAAGAGGTAGAAGAAAGATTACAACTTAGAATATGTCAAAGATTTCTGTCGTGTTTTAAACAAGATAAACACAATTTAGAATATCAGGTTAGTCGTTTTATTTAAAGATACATTATGTAAGATTTAGATAAAGAGCTAGCCATTCTTGCTATAATAGTTCGAAAATAGATAATGTAAAATGAATAATTTGAAAATTTCATTTAAATTATTCTATTGCGAGCGAAGAAATTAGCCTTTGAAGGTTTGACAAGACGTGTGCAATAATTTCAACCACCGTACTAGTTGTTCGGAGCTACGTCTCGCTTCTCCATTTTTAATTAAATCAAAACATCGCTGAACTGTTCTAATCTATTTAATATCTGAGAAATCCGACGCCATCGAGAGTTGATTATGACCTGGATAAGTTAATTAATGTCTAATTAATAATTTAGAAAACATTTCAGGCCTAAGGAAAGACCTGCAATAGGCAGATTTAGCTCTTGCATAATGTATGTTTAATATATGAAAATAATCTGGGGGGGGGGGGATAGAGGGCGGGGGGCCTTTCACATCATAGACGTGAGAAATGTGTGGTGGACACACTAACAGAATCGTTCGGCCGAATCAATCGCTGCCGAAATTCGCCTAGTGTATCCAGTGTCATTGGGCCGAATTTCTATTCGCCCGAATCAAACATTTTTGATATATTCCGCCGAATTATATTCGCATAGTGTGTCCGGTTCGCCGAAGCATTCTCCCGATTGTAGAATTCATTAGCCAATCACCACTGATATTGCGAAGTCACATGGTGGTTTGAAGACATGGTCTCTGCCATGTTTAATCATTCGAACGATTAGGTCGAATGATTCGGCTAGTGTGTCCACCGCTTTAACCAAATAATATTCTATTTCTCTACCTGTAGTCGTCACCTCCCGGGATCGACCTTCAGTACGGGTGAAGAACGCCGACCAACTACAGATTCGTTTATCAATCCCAGTGTAGTTCTAGGGGGGGGGGGGCTCGATTGTCAGTCCGGAACGTCTCGAATTGACAGAATTGCAATCACGTGATACGGAATTCAGTCCTGTCACAGTTCTGCCAGTCCCAACAGCTAAGGTGGTGTGAGTAGAATCGTGGCGTATTTTAAGTAACATGTTTCAGCTGTCATGATTGGTTGAGATATTTTTTATGCAGTCGGCACATGCGTTGTACTCCGAAATTCTCCTTTTCACTCGATTCGCACTATTTCGGAATTGAGAGAATTTAATTCCGGAACGTTCAATTGAGTATCCCCCTAATTAATATCTTGTATATAATATATTATATTCTGACAGGTAAACGGAAGTAGCAATGATTTACCCGAGGACAACGAAGATGGTAAAATAAATAAAAATAATGAAGCTGTCACCAAACTCTGATAACTATTGTTCAGTAGAGATGGTCAACTAAATAAAAACAATGAAGCTTTCAACAAACTATGATAACTAGGCTACTGTCCAGTAGAGTATGGTACCACAACGATTAATAGAGGTCTTGCAATTACAGAGGAAATATTTCCATAATATAATTGTTATTCATATCGTCGAATTATCTAACAAACTATGATAACTACTGTCCAGTAGAGGTCGATATAACAACCATTAATAGAGGTCTTGTAATTACAGAGGAAATATTTCCATAATATAATTGTAATCATATCGTCGAATCATCTCGAATGGAAACATGATATAGGTCACCACTTTTCCTCTAGAATCATCGACTATTTTATGGATCCAATGATTGACCTTACATTTTATACATATTCTAACAGAAAATAAATCATGTTGAAAGTATGAAATTTTTGTGAGTTTCTGAAATGATATGAAATGGGGTTTAACGTCCTACTGTTCTGCTCCGACTGGGCTAATGAAGACGGGCATAGCCATATAGTATGCTATGAGCGAAATTTTGCCCCGAGAGCGGCTACTTTTATATTTAATTCCAACTGCAAACGGATCTTTTACGTACACGCTAATGTGTACTAGGGGAGTCGGTTTTCCCTCCCATCCCAACGACTAGACAGCTGTCTTTGTCAGGCCCTCTGTCCTGCGCCACTGACAGGAGGGGAAACCACGCCAGAAAATCTGGATGAACTTTCTCGGCCAACACTGTGGGAGCAGTGTTTTACTCACTTAGCCACCGTGGCTCCCGTTGAAAGCATGAAATTATTGTGCCTTTCTATTCTGGCTATTAAATTATGTTTATAACTTTTATTGTGATGTATAAAATAAACAGGGATTATAAAATAAAAGTAAAAACGCCGCAAGCTTCTATTCCAATACAACTCAATCAGCCATAATTTCTATCCTAATCTCGGTGGTTCAGTGAATTATGAGCTGGCATACTAACTAGGATGTCCGGGGATCTATCCTGGTTTTGGTCAAGTAAGTGTCTCGGGATGATCTGGCGTGGTTTCCCTTTGTCAGTGAGGCAAAACGGAGGCTTTGCAAGGAACAGACTCTAGTCGTCCGGATAGAACGAAAATCAGAGGTTACGTGTACACATTGGTGCACACATCGGTTTTAGCAATGAATACGATGGGGAATTCTCTTGCCCATACCAACGCCAACTTGCGAGAATCAGTCAGGCGATTGAAAATGGTATGGTGTGGGCTGAGGCTGTGGGCGAAAAATATTCCTTGGTGTATGCAGACCTTTAATGGGCAGAAGGGTAACTACCACTGGATATTGAAATGAGAATTGGTAATTACCGGAGGTTCAACTGCCGACAAACGACTATTTTGTTAAATGTTAACCGATATGCACTTAGAATACAATACACGGGTTAGTTCAAGCCACAATCTTCTCGCCTTATTAAATAAATTCAAACAAAATAACTATTTTTTAATAAAAAATAATATATATTTAATACCAAAATATGAACAAAAATTATTTGGTCATTTAATTTTAAAAATAACAACGTTTGATAATTTACACGTCATGTGGTTCACATTATAATAGGCAAGACTTAGTTTCGTTCCCTTTGTCAACTTGGAATTGCTTTTAATACTTTATATAATAATATCTACAGTGGTCTGCATCCTGTCTAAAACTATTATTTATTTCTTGTTGATCTTTGCTCCAACTGTTGTATTTGGATCATATTGTGGAGAAATACCAAAATCTCCAAACTTCTTCAACAAATCTCTCCCTTTCCTCGTCAACAATCTATATAATAAAAAAAAATATTTAATATATGACTTGACAGAAATCGAATGTTTTTAATGGTATTTAAAAGGAATACAATTACTGCTTACTGCTTATCGACGTTTTGACTAGGGGGAGCCACGGTGGCTCAGTGGGCGCCCGGGGCGTTGGCTCGCTAATCTGGAAGTCCGGTGTTCCATCTAATATAACAACTTTAGGTCTTCGAAGGAATTATCAGTTACCAGAAATTTGCCCTGTGTATCTGTTATCGCTCGTTACTTCAGTTAGTTATATAGAAGGGTAACTCGTGTTTTACTTTTGCTTTCGTCACTTCCGTTTCTTGAAATCTTCGTTACGCATCTATCGTGGCAATGATCTCTGTGTTAAAATTATATCTGAAACGCGTTTAACCAGTTCTATCATATAAGCGACGACTGCTGATACCCATGTTGTCCTTTAATGATGTTTGATAAATAGAAAGACAACTTACGATTGTATGACCATACTAAACCACATTCTATGGGGTACAAAGACAACCAACTCGTTTCTAAGTATACCATCAATAGCACCAACAGCAGTCTCTCTAGGTGTTAAAATCTTAGGTTCGAACCTGCAACATGATCATAATATATAAATACAGCGTTTTCCTTACAAACGTCATCGGGCAAAATTACGTCATAAATAAATAATTAAAATTCGCTATTGTTATTTTCGTTCTACTAGTACGTGCAGGGGACTGCACCACACACAATTACACAAAACAAAACTGCGGACAAGACCACAGAAATCACAAACAAACGACACGTACATATCAGATTAAGTGAATGGATCCGGGGGCTAGCTGTATTCGCTTGGCCATTAAGATCTAAAGACATTTTGAAGACAAGTGTTAGCTATACTTAAGCCTTAGCTATGCAATAGGCTTTTCTTATTGCTTTATGGGATCTTCTGAAATGAAATGAAATGAAATGGGGTTTAACGTCCTACTGTTCTGCTCCTCACCTGGGCTAATGAAGACGGGCATACGCCATACAGTGTGCTATGAGGGAAATTTTGCCCGGGCAGCGGCACTATCGCCTACTCTTATATCGAATTCCAACTGCCAAGGGATCTTTTACGTGCATTCCAATGTATACACGGGACCTCGGTTTTTCGTCTCATCCGAAGGACTAGACAGCTGTCCTTGTCAGGCCCTCCGTCCTGCATCACTGACAAGGGGGAACCACGCCGGAAAATCTGGATGAACTTTCTCGGCCAATGCAGGGATCGAACACCCGACCTCCAGACTAGCGAGCCAGCGCCCTACCCACTTAGCCACGTGGTCCCCTATATGGGATCTTCTCCAGATGAAAAATATGAAATACTGTTGAATAGCGTCTGTAGCAAATAGCCTTCTTTACTGCAAAGCGGTACTGAGACTGGTGAGAAGCGACCGCTCTTGATAACCGTTAACTACTAGAAAGCGCCAACAGACTCCGCCTGAACATGGACGACCATCTCTTAATGACAGCCAACTTACTACTTAGTAGAAAGTGATAGCATATGCCGTCTGGACATCAAAGACCACAACTACTTGTAAAGAATTTGCGCTGCCGACAACCGACGTGGATTTCGAAAGCCCAATTATTTCACAAAAAGTAATTTACAAAACTAATGCTAAATTTGTTGTTTCCGTTCCATGGAAACAAATATGGTTAAATGCAAGAAATTTCAAATGGGTTGGTGTGTGTACGTTTCATAAAGATACCTTGAACGGTTTCTGCGATATACTCTTGAATCAAAACTGGAAAGGAAGGACGAGCGGACTTGGTCCAGGGCAGGATATATAAAACGTGGTTTAAAATCATCATTTTCTGCGCTGACTATGCTACTGAAGACAGACATATGTCATACAGTGTGGTATGAGCGAAAATATGCCCACTGTCAAGGGTTATTTTACACATTCTTGCTAGGTCCTCCGCCTTGCACCACTAACACGGGGAAGCTACGCTGGACTATCCCGTCGAACTTGCTTCTAACCTCCTACTACGGCTCAGTTCAGGGCGGGATAATACAATAATTATAGAGATATAAAATATGGACATGGATCCTACCTGTCTCTCATATGTTTAACTAAACCACTATTAACAAACATAGGACAAATACAGGTTGTTAGAACACCATCTTTACCTAATACACATATCTCTTCTTGTAGTGCCTCCGTAAAACCATATACAGCATACTTAGATGAACTGGTAAACAAATACACAAATTATAGACAAATACAGATGTGGGTTGTCCTTTGATGTTGGGTTTATATTATAGCCAATTGTACATTATTTATAGGGTGGGGGGGGAACAATGGTTGGTGCGTTTTCTCCATGTCCTGTTCCCACCCCCCCACCCCCACTGCTAAAGACCACTACACGCAAGCGAATTATCGAAATAAAATTGAAACATGTGTTAGTCCCGAAATGAACTAGTTTGTGTCGAGTGGACGTTAAACCTCATTTCTTTCTATATCTCTACATTAGTTGTAGAATATGGCGTTTACACCCCCGTACAGTATCAATATTATTACTGCATGTCTCGCTCTCGATCTGTAACCACACATAAAGGGAATATTTGGACTGATATTCCTTTTAGAGATTCAACTTTCACAATGTAGTTTGGAAGGGATGGCGATCAGAAACTTTAAAGGGGCTTAGTCTCTATTCTTTGGAACCGAAAATGGACGAAAATGAGTCAAGAAGCAGAAATGAAATGAAATGGGGTTAAACGTCCTACAGTTCTCAACCGACTGGGCTAATGAAGACGAGCAGAAATCATACAGTGTGCTATGATGGAAATTCTGCCCGGACAGCGACACTACGGCCAACGTGCCTACTCTTATTTCGAATTCCAACTGTCAAGGGTTGTTTTACGTATACAGGACCTCGGTTTTTCATCACATCACGACTATACGTTGTCCCTTGCCAGGCCCTCCCTCCCGCACCACTGACAAGGGGGAACCAACATGGAAAATCCCAATGAACTTTTACGGAAGAACAGGGATCGAACACAAGACCTCCAGGTTTGCAAGCCATCGTCCTACTCATTGAGCCACTGCAGCTCCCGGGTCAAGATATGCATGTAAACTAAATGTATATAAACTGTTTTACATTCATTTTTGAAAATTTTAATTGTAATTTCTAATTAGTTATGTTGGTCGAAAGAAATGAACAGTACAAATTGAATGGCAATCGCTAGCGCCAGTTTAGTTCAGTCAGCATTGTGTGAACGCTCCAAGGCATAGAGGAGCCTATATTTTCATGGTAAGATAACAACATCACTATTGATTGGAATATGACCAACAATTCGTGTTTGTATTACCTATAGTCAACCAGATACGCCGTACCAGATTTAGCAGACATAGAAGATACATTCACAACATGTCCTCTATTAGTCTTCATCATATAAGGTAAAAATTCTTTCACTGTCTGTAATAACAAATAATATAAATATCACATATAATAACAATGGAATGTCAACTAACTATTCGTATTTAGTCTAGAAGGTTCAGCTCAAAATATTAAAACGGATGTCGTTGGTATTTCGTTGAAACGTGGAACTACACTGGTTCAGAGATGCAAGGCGCTGGGTCACAAACAATGAAACAACGAGTTACATCCCTGTGTTGACCGAGGAATTTCCTCGGCATTATTCGGCGTTGTTCCCCCTTGTCAGGGATGCGGCGTTGAGGCTCTGCATGATGAGGAGCAGCATCTAGTCGTTTGGACAGGGTTTAACTATCTAATTTGCCGACCAACAGAGGTAATGAAGACGGTCATACCCATGCATGCTCATATCGTGTTCTATCAGAAAACTTTGCCATGACAGCGGCGTCCGCGCCTAATCTTAATCGAATTCCAACTATGTATTAAGGGTTATTTTAGCACACCGTTGTGTTTACCGGACTTTGGCTTCTAGCTCCTACCATTCCGACAAAACATTGTTTCCTAGTCGGCTCTCCGTCCTGCATTTCATTTCAGACAACCCCCGAACCCAACACACGTGCCCCATTTCTAACTGTATATTTTAACATATAAAACTACGGCAAATAACATATCAAACACGCATTCTCGCTTGTCCTTTCTACCAAACAATTTTTTCATGAGACAATCAGACAACGTATACCTACCCAAAACTGTGAAAGTGTGTTCACTTCGAAGGTTCTCTTTATGTGTTTTGGTTCCATACTAAGTAGTGACCCACCATAAAGTATTCCAGCATTATTTACTAACATATAAACAGGACCGACATCTTGTCGCACCTGTCCTGCGATACGATGTACGTCCTCTACAACTGTAACGTCACATGTGTAGGGAAATGCCTCCCCGCCTGCCTCTCTTATCTCGTCAGCTACACCATCATTGTTCTCCTGTGGAAACAGAAATACGCTAATATCTTATATCACCCAATAATACATTCTACAGTAGATATCGCTTGTGTGATATATTTCATAATCTACTGCGATATCTCCATAGATTGCTTTACATGAATTTGATTGGTCAGTTGAAAAGGAACTACTTTTTTTATTTTCAAAGAACAGTTCATTTCTTATTACAAGTAACTTTTTTTTATTAAAAATGAACTATTGTTATTCAATTGACCTTGATGGAAACACTGGGTCAATATAAAGGACTTAGCAATGGTTGAATTGCTGTCAAAAAATTATGTACATGTATCACTACGGCGTAATGTTCAGTAAAGTGAAATCTACACCAAAGAATTATATTTATCTACATGTATTGGGTGATAAATAAAATCTCCTACTCGTCTTGTTTGATATCAAAAAATATCAACACTCGTTGATAAAGTAAAAAAAAACTCGGCAGAGCGTCGTTTTTTGTTACTTTATCAACTTGTGTTGATATTTTTTGATATCAAAAAAGACTGGTAGGAGATTCTCTATATCTCCCTTTCATGATTAATAATAATGTTCTCATGAGACGTTGTAATCGGCACTAGCCTTAGTGCATACGGTACTTATATGTATATCTCCCCTGTTGGGAGCCATGTATACTGTTACAATGTATATATTTTTATTTGACTGTCATTTGGGTTTACTCTCTTTTTTTGATCTGAACCAGCATGTCCCCTGTCGCGGCCCTGTGGACCCTTGATTGGAAATAAAGTTATTATTATTATTATTATATCATACCCTGGGTATCGACCCAGTATCGACCCACCGAAAAGGTTCCTCGGATTATGATCATCATGTGAATTTAGTGTTATTTCTAATATTCGATTGTGTTTCAATTTAATTTGGTACAATGTCGTAGCTGGGATGGAAATACACACAAGACCAATTACAATGGAATACGAGATTAGCCTACTATAAGGTGTTGCTATTTTTATTTATCCTCTTATGATTGCATCATAATAATTTTAAGCTTGATAAAAACTAAAGAATAGGAGTCGAAATTAGGTTTCGGTATTATTACGTGGTACCGTTGTAATTTATAATTTCAAAATACAAGTCATAACCCGCTGATACATTACAGAATAATTATATCACATTACATTAGCTGACGACATCATCGTGGGACTGATAAAGTAGGCCAAACTGACCTGACCTCCACGAATAGTAAATTATAGGCTATATAATGGAAAGTGGTCTGCACCCACCCAACTCCAAGATGAGTTTGCCTGTCCAAAAGGTTGGGCTCTGTCCATGTTTCGGGAAGAAATTAAATATGCATGCAGTAATTGAACGTCTTACCTTGTTGATGTCCCACAGTACAACCCGGGCACCCAAGCGGGAAAATTCTAAACAAAGTTCTCTTCCAATCCCATGTCCGGCTCCAGTAACCAAAACAATTTCACCCTTGATGTCTTTTCTTGCAGGTGGGAAAAATATCTGGATAAATGCTTCTAAGTAGAAGTAAATAACTTTACTCAGCACTAAAATGATTTCTAATATAATGTTCATGTTTGTCGGTCCACGAGCGCTGTATCAACAAGAAGTTTATTTGTGAATTTTTATACCCGGGTTCAAAGTTCAAGTACATCTGGACAGCCTTGAACTTTCGCAAAGGGGGCGTCTATTGTTCAAGTAATACACATATTTATTTTTCTATTCTCTTGCGTTGGTTTAGATTTTTTTCGTCCTAAAATTATCATAATTGTAATTATATATATGTTATGACATCAACATATCAGTTAATTGAAATATACCGAGAACGCAGTGGGAAATATTTTGCGGCGGATGAAAACACAATGACGGAGCCCTTTCTTCCGCTTAAAACCACGTGTTCCGGTTAATTTGTCAACATGGGGAAAACGAAGAAAAATAAACTGTCTAAAATGAAGATTGGGGTGACGGATTTAGGTTTGGTTGAACAAATGCTAGAAGATAAAAGTGTGAGGAGGGAAGCGCGAATAAAAATTAGAAAACCCACAGAAGAAGAAGACGACACGGTAATAAATTACAAATGGGTTGCTGAAAAGTCAATCCAACGACAGAACAAGTATAAATTTCGTGTTTTCGACACCAGTCATTGATTAGGTGGCAACCCGAACTCAAACTGAAAACGACATATTTCATGAATGTCAGTTAAGTCGTCCACAAATATCAAAATACATTGGTTGAGTCCACATGACATTGTCATCCACACACCTAATAGTGACCTATGGCGATAAAGTATGTATTGGTTGGGCGAATGAATAAAAAAATGCCTTAGATAATAGAAATACAATACATACAATTACAATGTACATGTATCACACCGCAGTAGTTTAGCCAAAAACCGTTTAACGGTAAATTTGATAATCCTGTAAATATACAATTGCAAGTTGATTATTCATAGGGAGTAGGTCCAATAATTTGCCTTTGTGAAAGTAGGCCATATATCAAAAGAAGACAATCCATGGAATTAGCAAATTTACCGGTAATTTTGATAAACTGATCAATTTGCTGGTTTTTCATTACACTTAACACACTGATAAGCAGTGAATATTTGCTAGGCCGCTACAATCACTGATAAGGATGACATCGATGCGACTTAATGAGCCACAAATATTAACTTTTTTCCTCGGACAAATTAAATTCCAAAACATTTTTTTTTATGTAGTAGAAAAATAAATAACGACGTTTGACGTATTTGTAGGTAAATATGATTTCCTATTTAGTGTAATTGGGTATTAAAATGAGTAAAAGAAAGCATTCATTATTATTTACATGTACATGTAATATAGCTATAATAATAATAATCACCATTTATATACACAGAGTGAAAGAATAACTTTTGTCTTAATTCCATTTGAAATTCAAGGTGAAATGGAATATTCACGGCAATAAATCACTATCATTTCTCAGCCAATCAACGCATATGAATTGGATTACGATATACAGTGCCATGCCATGTAAGGCATTGCATACTCTGTACGGACTTAGTAACTAAGGTTAAATTCAGTACAAAAATTGCACGGGCTTCATGGACATGGATAACAAAAACATATGATTGAGCTGTCATCGTAATTGTAAAATACCGTTTTATAAAGATGATAAACGATTTTAGACATCATTCACTTATCACAAATGTTTATCCATCAAATGATTTTTATTCAGATTTCATATCAAGATGGCACTTGTATTCATTATGTCTATAATCATAACACCTTTCAACAAACATTACAAGGCTGTTTTATTACAAAAACATCTGTGAACTAAGATCGGCCATGATCAGACAACCAAACTAGTTAATTATTGGATAAACAAAACAATTATAAACAACCGATGAGTAAAACTTATTTATTCCATACAATTAATGTGTATATACATGTACGAATCAACTATTAGTTGTGGACGTCATAACAATTACGGAAGTTGTGGATGATATAACCAATATTTTATGGACGACTTAACTGTGGACAATTTTGCGTGTGGATGAGTTAACTGGCAGCCTATTTCATTATTCACGTGGAAGGAATTATTCCACGGAGACGAAGACATTTCTATAAATTTGTATCCCTTGGTGTTACCTAGCCAAAGTTTTTTTTAAAAATCAGGTTGTGTAATTAATTAAAATTATACGTAATTATATATCCATTCATCTTGTTCTGAACAGTATCATTAGACCTAGTATTTAAGTATTTTGTATTGTGCATAAATTTGCTGTGATCAATTATCACTATTCAGTTATCTAATGAACTTTGAACCTTTAAAATGATATAAATAGTGTTATCTTTCCCCGCAGGTTATCGATTATCTGCTTCGTCTACTCTACTCCTAGTTCACATACCTCAAAATCCTTACAGGTAGTACTGTTACAAAGATTGCCGGTAGATAAAAAACTAAATATGGTAGTAGCTTAGAGGTACTGATAATAGTCCTATACAGGGCTGTACCATGTATAACTTGACATAGTCTCCGATATCACCCAATGCGAAAGTGGACGTTAAGCCTCAAGGAATGAACAACAGAAATTCATTTTTTTTAACTGCAAATACATCCTGTGTTGTCTTTAACTCCAAATGTTCTCGTCATCCCCAATAATCTTATATAGGGATGTACATGTACCATATCGAACTTTGATGTACAGTACGCATTTCAGAAGTACATCCGTATCAAACTTACTCTCATAGTTTCAGAAATTCATTTCATCCAAAATAATTTACCTTCAAATACATCCTGTATTGATATTTTGTCAACTGGCTTGATTAGGTCCTAAACATGTTTGGGGGTTTTTTCATGCAGTCTTTAAACTCTTGCTTTTTTTCATGCGGTCTTTAAACTGTTTTAGGGTTTTTTTCACGCAGTCTTTAAACTGTTTGTTTTTTTCAGGCAGTCTTTAAACTCTTGTTTTTATCATGCGGTCTTTAAACTGTTTTAGGTTTTTTTTCATGCAGTCTTTAAAAAAAAATTTTTTTTTTGTCCCCCGCCTTTCGAAGAAAGCAGGGGACTATTAAAATGGGTTCGTCTGTCTGTCTGTCTGTCTGTCTGTCCCGTCTGTCTGTCCGTCTGTCTGTCCGTCACACTTTTTGGGACACAATAACTCTCTTCCTAATTGAGCTAGAATGTTCAAACTTGGTGTATGTGTTTATTAGGTCAATGCCTTGATGGAGTTCGAAGATGAGCATTTTCCGCTAAGGGTAAGCAGAGATAAGCAATTTGATTGGTTGATGCTTTGGGACACGATAACTCTCTTCCTAATTGGGCTAGAATGTTCAAACTTGGTGTATGTGTTGATTAGGTCAATGCCTTGATGGAGTTCGAAGATGAGCATTTTCCGCTTAGGGTAAGCAGAGATAAGCAATTTGATTGGTTGATGCTTTGGGACACGATAACTTTTAATTGAGCTAGAATGTTCAAACTTGGTGTATGTGTTTATTAGGTCAATGCCTTGATGGAGTTCGAAAATGAGCATTTTCCGCTTAGGGTAAGCAGAAATAAGCAATTTGATTGGTTGATACTTTGGGGCACGATAACTCTCTTCCTAATTGAGCTAGAATGTTCAAACTTGGTGTATGTGTTGATTAGGTCAATGCCTTGATGGAGTTCGAAGATGAGCATTTTCCGCTTAGGGTAAGCAGAGATAAGCAATTTGATTGGTTGATGCTTTGGGACACGATAACTTTAGTTCTAATTAAGTGAGATTGATGAAACTTGGTGTATAGTTTCATTACAGTAATACCTTGACTAAGTTTGATAATGAGCATTTTCTGCTCAGGGTAAGCAGAGCGATACGCAATTTGATTTTTATATGTGTCCTCTAATTATTTTCCTATTTCGGCGGGGGACATCAGCCTCACTGTTGGCTTGTTCATCCAGTCTTTAAACTGTTTTGGGTTTTTTTCATGCGGTCTTTAAACTGCTTTGGGTTTTTTTCATGCGGTCTTTAAACTGCTTTGGGGTTTTTTATGCAGTCTTTAGAATGTTTTTTTTCATGCTGTCTTTAATCTGTTTTGATTTTTTCTCCAGGTTATTGATGACAAACTATCAAGAAAGATTTTAACACAAGCAAGAAAACAACAAGAAGAATTAGAAGAAGAACATGGATTTAAAAAGTAAAACATCATGTCAAATATTATTCACCTTTGATTTCCCTGGTATTTTATTAATTATAAAATAAACATTACTATCTGTAATTAATTGTAAAATAAACATCCCATTATCTTTTATAGGGATTATATTCCCTATAATATTAGTGTAAGTGCAGGAAGACCACACTGCATGCTAACAAAACCTGTTTAAAAAAACCTGCGGACAACAAGACACACAAATTACACAGACATTGCAAGCAATAGACAACAAATATATATCAAACTAAGTGAATGCTCTGTACAGTCCCAGGCGGGTAATAATACCACTGAATAGTTAATTGTAATAAAAAAAAGATAAAAGACATTAATTTTATGATAAACATAAATGACAATGTTATTGTTAGATTAAATGGTAGAAAGAATATTACAATATTTATGGTTTTACAGTTTGTCAACTTCAAAAGAAGGTTTGATCTTGCTTTAACTGTCTTTACCAATCTGTTTCACAGAGATCATCTAATATCTCTGTAACAGCTAACTGTTTCGACCCGTGACGTCACATCACGTGGGGTCAATCAGTGGCTCAATAGCGCATGCATTGTTTACATAAGACGTTACTGCTTCGGGCTAAATGGTGAATTTTACTTATTTTAATACCCATTTACACTAAATAGGAAATGATTTTTACCTACAAATAATTCAAACGTCTTTCTTTATTTTTCTAACAAATGAAAAAAATGTTTTAGAATTTAATTTGACGGAAGTAAATGTTAATATTTGGGACTCATTAAGTAGCATCGATGACATCCTTATCAGTGATCGTAGCGGCCTAGTGAAAATTCACTGCTGATCAGTGTGTGTCTTGACATCTTATCAAGCCCTTCACTTATAGCCCTACAGTTTTCGTCACTAATATTGATTGATTACTTACCCAGTTGGAACGCCTCAGATCCCAAATACCAAGTAACCCGCTTTCCAACTGAAATCTCTAGCTGTGATAATCAAGTTGCAAAGTTCAAGGTTCATTCATTGTCAAGGTCGCTTCCAAACTTTTCTAATTTCCTTTTTGTTCTTCCATTATATATGCTAGTAAGGATGCTTTTCTTTGGATTTCCTTGAGTTTTTCATCTAAAAACAAGCATGACATTTATTTCTTTCAGACCAAAAGATGTTAGACCTAAAGTGGTATCCCTTGGCAGTAGTAAAGATGGAGATGAAGATTCAGGTGATGACTCTGACAATATACCTTCAGATGATGATGACTATTGTGAACAAGTTGTAAGTAATATAATTACCATTATATCTCTGTGTCCCGAGTGTCTGCGATAATAGTATTATCCAGACATTTCGTTCTGTTTTAATCTTTCAGTTGTTTACCTGGCTGCAGCTTAGTCGGGGGGTTGGATGGCCGAATGGTTAGCACATGCGCACTGTATCATAAGGCCTGTCATTGAGTCAACTGGCATGGTTTCGTATCCCCGGTTGTACATGACAAGGAGTAGGGTCGCCTGTCCAACCTCATGGGTTTTCTCTGGGTCCTCCAGTTTCCTCCCACTGCTAAAGACCCCTACGCGCAAGTGAATTATTAAAATAAAATTGAACCATGTGTTGGTCCCGAAATGACCTAGTTTGTGTCGAGTGGCCGTTAAACCCCATTTCTCTCTCTCTTTCACCTTAGTCAAGCCTGGTAGCAAGGCACATTTCATAATCATTGTCTGACACAAATTATGGTTTTATCAGAGACTATCGCTCTCTGGGGCCTGTCATTTTGTCTCTCACAGATTTGTCTTTATTCAGTGTTTTTATTGATTTTATTGATACATGTCCATTACAACTAAAGTATGGGATAACACTTGTTGACTGCTTGGACAATTTAGCTGCCTTGGGCGTATGTTTCATTGCCTGGCAACCTATTTTTCTTTTTTTTTATTAATAACATGTTTGGTAGAGCTAAAAATCATCCAGTTGTTGTCCCCCGCCTTTCGAAGAAAGCAGGGGACTATTAAAATGGGTTCGTCCGTCTGTCTGTCGGTCTGTCTGTCTGTCCGTCTGTCTGTCCTTCTGTCTGTCCGTCTGTCTGTCCGTCACACTTTTTGGGACACAATAACTCTCTTCCTAATTGAGCTAGAATGTTCAAACTTGGTGTATGTGTTTATTAGGTCAATGCCTTGATGGAGTTCGAAGATGAGCATTTTCCGCTTAGGGTAAGCAGAGATAAGCAATTTGATTGGTTGATGCTTTGGGACACGATAACTCTCTTCCTAATTGGGCTAGAATGTTCAAACTTGGTGTATGTGTTGATTAGGTCAATGCCTTGATGGAGTTCGAAGATGAGCATTTTCCGCTTAGGGTAAGCAGAGATAAGCAATTTGATTGGTTGATGCTTTGGGACACGATAACTTTTAATTGAGCTAGAATGTTCAAACTTGGTGTATGTGTTTATTAGGTCAATGCCTTGATGGAGTTCGAAGATGAGCATTTTCCGCTTAGGGTAAGCAGAGATAAGCAATTTGATTGGCTGATACTTTGGGGCACGATAACTCTCTTCCTAATTGAGCTAGAATGTTCAAACTTGGTGTATGTGTTGATTAGGTCAATGCCTTGATGGAGTTCGAAGATGAGCATTTTCAGCTTAGGGTAAGCAGAGATAAGCAATTTGATTGGTTGATGCTTTGGGACACGATAACTTTAGTTCTAATTAAGTGAGATTGATGAAACTTGGTGTATAGTTTCATTACAGTAATACCTTGACTAAGTTTGATAATGAGCATTTTCTGCTCAGGGTAAGCAGAGCGATACGCAATTTGATTAGTGGAGACTTTGGAAAACAATAACTCTCCTACTTTGATTGTCCCCCGCCTTTCGAAGAAAGCAGGGAACTATTAAAATGGGTTCGTCCGTCTGTCTGTTTGTCTGTCTGTCCGTTCCGCTTATGGTAAGCAGAGATAAACAATTTGATTGGTTGATCTTCGAATTGAGTAAATGTTCATGCTTATTGTCCCCCGCCTTTCGAAGAAAGCAGGGAACTATTAAAATGGGTTCGTCCGTCTGTCTGTTTGTCTGTCCGTTCCGCTTAGGGTAAGCAGAGATAAACAATTTGATTGGTTGATGCTTTGGGACACTATAACTTTAGTTCTAATTAAGTGAGAGTGATGAAACTTGGTGTATAGTTTCATTACAGTAATACCTTGACTAAGATCGATAATGAGCATTTTCTGCTCAGATTAAGCAGAGCGATAAGCAATTTGATTTGCTGAGACTTTGGAACACAATAACTCTCTAATTATTTTCCTATTTCGGCGGGGGACATCAGCCTCACTGTTGGCTTGTTTTATTTTATTTACTGTACCAATCAGGATTTAAAATGCTATGATTATTCAGAGCCTCCCTGAATCAGAGGGATGAATTATCAGAGGGATGAATTATCAGAGGGATGAATTGTCAGAGGGATGGGGCTAATCAAGTGGTAGTGGCTGGGGACTTTCAGTTAGAATGTCCTGTTGAGCGCCAAGAAGAAACTTCAATATATTTTAAGTCAAAAATTTAAGATGGTTGTTGCTGAAAACAAACTTATATGGTTTTAAAGACTAACTGAAATGACAGAAAAGGGCATACTGTGTATTTTGTAGTGGAATCAGTTTGGTAATCTGATTGCGGTTTTTGGTGTATTATAATCTATGTTTGTAATTTCAGAACGTCAATCCAGAAGACGAAAAGGCTTTAGAAATGTTTATGTCACAAAATCCCCCTGTAAAAAGAACACTAGCTGATATAATCATGGAAAAACTCACAGAAAAACAAACAGAAATACGCTCACAATTATCAGGTAAAAAAACCCACAACAATCCACCTGTCTCTCTTCTTGATTAATGATTGTCTTTTGAAAGTTTTGTGATCCCTGGCAAACAAGGATATTGTGAACACGAATCTTTTAAAGGAATATCAGTCCAATAATAGTTAGATTCCGTTCAATATGTTACACTTTTCGTTCTTTGAATTGATTCTGGATGACAACAATGGTTTAAACTTTATATAATACTTTTATTTTTCATGTACAAGACTTCGTAAATAATACTTAGTTACCAGGTTTCTTATCTTGTAGCAGGCTTGTTTCCAACCCGGCTCTCTGGCCTGCATTCGAGACTGATAGCATCTGCCATTTTAAAACAAGTATTTACAAAGATATGATGAATTTAAATTTTGTCAGCATTACACTTCTTCTGCAGAGGACACATGTATAATCGGGATATAGTCAAAACTAGGGCCCTCTATAATCTCTGTTAAAATCATTTCCGGGCGTTTTTTTAACCCTATTTAACCCAAGTAAAGTGATTATCTACAGTTGATATTTTGATTAAAAGTTAAATAATCAGTTTGAGTTAATATTTTAAACTTGGATTAAGACGTGAAAATTTTGATAGTTATAGATCGATAGTTGCACACACTGGTAGCTTTGTCTGAAGGTCATCACACACATCACAAATTTTCCATGGAACCCAGTGACCAGGCCCATTTTAGGTTAGAATATCAACAACCTCTCTTAACAGGAGACCAAAAATTACACAATATTAAAACTTTCACCAAGACCCTGTTATTAGAATTATATTATTAGAATAGCTAAAAATAGATTTAGACTATGTTAGCTGGAGACTATAGTAATCAGTAACGATAGGATGAAATATGTTTTAGAAACAATTATTTGTATTTTATTATTTCAGAGGGATCTGAATTACATGTAGAAAAAATAGACAACCGAATAACCCGAATGTACAAATCAATACGACAAATATTAGCCAGATATCGCAGTGGTAAATTACCTAAAGCTTTCAAAGTTATACCCAACCTCAGAAACTGGGAACAGGTGAGAAGCTAGAGTAATTATTAATTAAAAGTCAACAATAGGATTATCAGCCTACTGTCCATACATAGTTGCGTCAGATTTGGATATATTCTTAACTTAAAGCTAGATTTATTGTTGACTAAAAGCAAAAGTTGTATTACAAAAACCTTCAAGTTCGAATGCTCCTGTCATCTTTTGATAAATTGAAAATATTTTAAAGTCGCTGTTCGTCTTTTGAGGAATTGTTAATCCCTTGTAAACTATAATATTATAAAAGTTGAATCTCTAAAGGGAACGTCGATCTCAAAGATGGTTAAAGTTCATTCAGTATTTACAAAGATATGATGAATTGAAAAGATTTCACATCATTCTGCATCCTCAGTAGGCGATATAAACAAGCCAGCACCACCTATAAGTATTTAGTAAAATCTTTTGATGGTCCTCTTGATGCAACTAAATCAAAGGCACATTCAGCAGACAATATAAGATAGGTGTCAGGTAAAATCTTTTGGTGGGTCTGGGGAGGTTTGATGGCCGAATGGTTAGCATGTGCACATTGTATCATAAAGTCTATCATTGAGTCAACTGGCCTGGTTTCGATTCCCTGCTTGTACGTGACAAGGAGTAGGGTCGTCTGTCCAATCTAATGGGTTTTCTCCAGGTCCCCCGGTTTCTTCCCACTGCTAAAGACCCCTATGTGCAAGCGAATTATTGAAATAAAATTGAACCATATGTTAGTCCCGAAATGACCTAGATTGTGTCAAGTGGACATTAACCCCCATTTCTCACTCTCTTTTGGTATCTGATTGAATCCAAGCCCCATTTATCAGAGAAGAAAAACAAACCAGTTTCAATTGGTTCAATTCCATACAGTATTTACAAAGATATGAATTATGTATGAATATTTATTTATAGATCATACAAATAACAGAACCTGAGGAATGGTCAGCAGCTGCCATGTATCAAGCTACCAGAATATTCACAGCAAATCTCAACTCAAAATTAGCACAGAGGTATGATAACTAGCATATTTACAGATACAAATCGTCTCAATACAGTTGGAATTTAGTGTGATTTGGTAGAAAATCTAAAGCAACAAAAAGCTTGTTTGAGACCAATCTGAATAAAATACAGTTCTATATTTCGTTTCGGTTTTTTTATACTTGCAATAGTCTACATTACATGGAGACCTGACCGGTTGTAATAAAAGGTCGCATCAGAAGTCGTACGAATGGCTTTTGACCCAATGACATCAGACATTGATTAATCAATCATTGTTGACGTTTCTAGTGGTTTACCCACAGTTCCGTGCATCGCATACCAAGAAGTCGCTGTAACAGATGGTTTCATTGACTAATCCCTCACGCCATCCAGAAAGCCTATTATATAACAACTCTTCCAGATCCTAGTGTAGTGCAGACCAATAAAATTTTGAGCTATAAAACACGAAACGAAATAGGATCTGTGTTTAACCAGATTGGTTTTAGACGATAAAATATATATTTTTTATGTCTACATGTCAAAGACTCTGGGAAAGATATTAGCTCTATAGGAATCCCTTACAAATTTAAACATTGTAAAAGTTGAATCTATAATATGAATATCAATCCAACAATGGTTCATTTCCACTTATATTTTAAATGGTTTGATCATTTTGTACCCACGTCAACCTTTTGTTTGTTTCTTTTACTTGTTGTCACCTAATAGTTAAATGCCACTTAAAGATTAGGTTTTTGTTGTCATTTGATTAGCGGACATGTTGAACAGAATCTTTGCCTATTTTTACATTTCTGTCTGAACACTGAATGGCTAACTTTTATTGATATTTCAGATATTTTAATTTAATTTTGTTACCAAGGATACGGGATGATATCAATGAATATAAACGATTAAATTTTCATCTTTATTTGGTAAGTTAAATACAAAATTTCATTCTTTGTTTGGATTGGTTATACTATCTTAAAGGAGCATTATGGGAGATTATATAAACAGTTGACTGTTCTTGCTATAATAGTTAAACGTAAATAGAATTTGCTGAGAATTTCAGTCAAATTGCTCCACTCTGAACAGAGATATAAGCTGTTTAGGCTAGTCTTGATCATCATTACTAAAGTCGGTACGATAAAAAACAAAGTCTTGATTATCCATTTATCGATTTAATTATTTTCAAAAAATGTATTCCAATCCACTAAATATCGCAGACTAGCAATGGTATCGAGAGTTGATTATGGTCTGGATCAGTTAATTAATGTCTAATTAATAATTTAGATAACATTTCAGGCCTAAAATAAGACCTGCAATAGGCAGATTTACCTCTTGCATATTGTATGTTTAAATATTGTATTAATTTGATGTATTTTTTTCTTCTTTGTTTATTCAGGCCATCAGAAAATCTTTATTCAAACCTGCAGCTTTCTTCAAAGGCATCTTATTACCACTCTGTGAGGTGAATATATATTTTATATTACCTGGTACATTTAACATCTGTGTTGTTTTATGTTTTAGGTTATCCTACAATGTAGGGGGTTGATTGACTGTATCATAAGGACTGTCATTGAGTCAACTGGCGTGGTTTCAATTCCCCAGTTGTACTTGACAAGGAGTATGGTCGCCTGTCTAACCGCATGGGTTTTCTCTGGGTCCTCCGGTTTCCTCCCACTGCTAAAGACCCCTACGCACAAGCAAATTATTGAAATAAGATTGAACCATATGTTAATCCCGAATCGACCTAGTTTGTGTTGAGTGGAGTTAAAACTCTCTCTCTCTCTCTCTCTCTCTCTCTCTCTCTATACCTGTCAGACCTAAAAAGTCTTTAGCATGCGTTGCTTGAATAAACATCAATTTAATTGTTAAAACTTGGTGGATTGCTTCTTATGGCATTATTTACAGACCTGTTGCATATTTGAATCAGAAAAAAAATGTGAGATGTTTATTCACAATATTTCCCCCCTAATTATTCATGTTGGTGAACTGCATATGTACAAACTCTATTAACCCATGTTTCTCGAACATATGTCATAAACCATTATGAAACTTAGTACACACACCAACCTATTTAACTAGTAATGCCTTTTGCTAAGGGGGGTTGGATGGCCGAATGGTTAGCACGTGCACGCTGCATCATAAAGCCTGTCATTGAGTCAACTGGCGTGGTTTCGAATCCCTGGTTATACGTAACAAGAAGTAGGGTCGCCGGTCCAACCTCGTGGGTTTTCTCCGGGTCGTCTGGTTTCCTCCCACTGCTAAAGATCAATACACGCGAGCAAATTATTGAAATAAAATTAAACCATATGACCTAGTTTGTGTGAGTGGACATTATAACCTCCTCTCTCCTCTCTCTCTCTCTCTCTCTCTCTCTCTCTCTCTTTTGCTAATTATAAATTTCTCAGATTTAATAATTAGGATTTAATAATTTTTGTGTTTCCATGGAAATCTGTTCTTGTTAACCTTTGTTTTATATTTTACAGGCTGGAGATTGTACGTTACGAGAAGCCATCATTATGTCATCTATATTGGCTAAATGTTCGATACCCATGCTGCATTCAGCGGCAGCCATTTTGAAAATAGCAGAAATGAACTATAACGGAGCTAACAGTATATTTTTAAGAACATTATTTGATAAAAAATACGCTCTACCATATCGAGTCATTGATGCTGTTGTACATCATTATATTGGGTAAGTTCAAAAATGTGATCCGTTTTATGCAAGTGGTGCAGGATGATGGAGAACCTGGCATAGTAAACACTCTAGTCGTTCAGATAGGACAAAAAAAAACCCAAAGTACACCCGAGTACTTATAGGTGCACATAAATGTAAAAAATGATTGAATTTCGATGATGAGCATGTCCATATTGTCAATGTGGATGACTATACTAGGCCCATATTGTCCTTGATAATGACTGCCATGTCCATATCGTCAGTGATCTCGACTGTACCATATCCATATTGTCAATGATGATGACTGTGTTGTGTCCATCTTATCAATAATGATGACTGTGTTGTTTCCATATAGTCACTGTGGATGACCATATCGTGTCCATATCATCAATGATAATGACTGCATGAATTGTGTCAATTTCGTCAATGAAGATGACTGTCGTGTATATATCTTTAATGATGAGGACTGTGCCATATCCATATTGTCAATAATGATGACTGCATGAGCAATGTCCAAACCATCAACAATGATGACTCCATGAGTAATGTTCATATCGTCAATGACTGTCCATATCATCAGTGATGATGGCTATGCCATGATATATCGTCAGTGTTGATGACTGTGCCATGTCCATATTGTCAGTGATGATGACTGCCATGTCCATATCATCAATGATGATGACTGTGTCATGTACATATTGTCAGTTACCTTTACCTGCATGTATTCAAATTTTGAATTCTTTAACATTGTAATTGTAGATTTCGTCGAGACAAGCGTGATTTACCTGTTCTGTGGCATCAGTCATTGTTAACGTTCGTACAGAGATATAAAGAAGACATTTCAACGGAACAGAAGGAAGCCATGATGGAATTATTACGCTTACATACACATCATAAAATAACGGACGAAATACGACGAGAATTACTCCTGTCAAAATGTCGCGATGTTGAGGACGGATCTTCTACTGTGATGCACACGAACTAACTGTAAATTGTGAATAAATTATAGAAAACTGTCTATTGTTGGAAAATTTGTTAAGAAGCAGGGTGCCCCACGCAGCAGAAAACGAGAGATCACGGGGTGCAGCCACAAATGAAAGGTTATGGGGCCTTGGGTTCCCCACATAGCCAGAAAATGAGAGGTTACAGAGCGTAGGTTCCCCCACATAGCTTGATAAGAGACATTATTAAAATATTAGTTTATGTGCCACTCAAACTTGCCATTTTTTTCGTTATATATACTGCTTCAAAATAAATTTGTCTTGATAATCCAGATCTGTCAATCAGCCAGCAAACAGTCAAAAGACTGGCGTGGTGTGTCGATTTCAGATTATTTTAAATGACTTTTAAACAGATATTAAATATAACAAAACTTTTCATTTAGTGATGATAAAACGTTTATTTAGAAACTACGGTCGAGCTTGTTATATGGTGGCAATCCATATATTTAGAAATATTTTTATCTGGGGATCCCCTACCAGGATATTGTTTGGTGCATCCGGATTTCGAAGTCTGGAAATCATTATTCAAATGACACAATTTCTTCCTTTCCCTCAGTCTGTCAGCATTATTTACCCCTGGTTTTAATCAAACTGCATGTTTAACCATAACATTACTGTATGATCAAGACTTGGTAATAGTATGGCTGTAACTATTGTATTACTGTATGATCAAGACTTGGTAATAGTATGGCTATAACTATTGTATTACTGTATGATCAAGACTTGGTAATAGTATGGCTATAACTATTGTATTACTGTATGATCAAGACTTGGTAATAGTATGGCAATAACTATTGTATAACTGTATGATCAAGTCTTGCAATAACTATCACATTATGATTGAGCACCATGACAACAGATTTTAAAGAAATTAGCAATAGCAAGCTGAATGTTGAAACGATCACCATTTGTTTATATACTATCACTGTTGCCATCAAAAATAGTTTGTCTTCCCCTCACAATAACAATTACCGATACTGGCTTATAAACATGCTATATGTCCAGGTACAGTGTCTTTTTAACAAGCAAATGTTTCTACTAAAAAAGAAACCATAGGGGTCCACAGATGCATCGTCACGCTTCAAAGACAAATAAATATTAAATTCACCAGTCTCAATCGTGCATTTTTCAGACAATATCTAATCTTTCACGCCTTAATACACATAAAAATTTACTTAAACTGATTATTTAACATTTAATTAAGACGAATGTAGCAAAAATTCTTCAGATATACTGTCGAGCGATGAGGAGTTTTACCTAGAGGATGCCCAGTGGTGGCAAATTTCCAGTTCATCAAAATATACTTAAACTGATTGTTTAACATTTAATTAAGACGAATGTAGTGACAAATGTTGAGATTTAGTGCTTTGTGACCCCTTAATTAGAGTGGCTGGTTATCACACAAATACAGCATTTGCTTTACATTCATCAATCCATATTTTAATAAATAATTCATACTTCTTATAACTAACTGTGTTTATTTATATGTATATAAGCCAGGGATAAAAGGACATGGCTATTAGCCATATTCCTTCAACTGTATTACTTATGTGGGCGCAAGTTGGATTTGTTACCACAGTGACATTTTTAGGGGGTGGGCTTACAAGCTTCATTATAGTTCCTTACAATTACTTTCAATGCAATCAATTTGCAGCTTGTCTTCTTGTATGCTGGCCAAGGTTTCTAGAAATAAATGACTTTCATCCCAGACTTTCCAAGAAATAGACAAATATTGGCATTTTGTAATAAAAGTTAAACTCTTGAAATCTTTTTTGGCAAAATTATGAATGAATCTTAAAGTCTAGACAAAGGGCCCATGGACCTGAGCTGCAACCCAGTATACAAAACAGCACATAACTTTAAAAGATCACCATCTTTGTAGTTATTATTTCCTTTTTTCTTATTCTGTATCATAATAATGTTGCAAAAATAAATGTGAAGCTATGAAGATTGAAGAAACGAATCTTGATGATATATGAACTTATAAACCATATATAGGAGGCAGACCACCATTAAATTTGTCTATTTATAGCAATTCTCTCTCTCTCTCTATCTCTTCTCCACTTTTGTATGCCCATTTTTGCTGATTTATGGGTCTAGATTGGACGATGAGGGTTTGAATTAAAGGAGCTAAATCGCTAATATTTGGGACCTAGAAATTGACACAAATGAGTCGCAACGCATATAACAATGTAATCTAATTGTATATAAACTGATTTACATTCAATTGTTTTCGTTTTGACTCTTAACTTCAAATCAGTTATGTCCAGCGAAATGCGGCATGAGTCTCAACCGAATGTCAATTTCTAGCGTCTGGTTATTCCAGTGTATTGCACATGCTCTCATGGCGTCACTGTTTGACATGAGTTAGGAATATGTCTAGCCTCGTTCTTTCTGGTCACTTGGTACAAATGACTCTGAAACGCACTATGGTAGGCCTACACGATTTGTGTACCAATGGTAAAATGTTTATTTTGTTTTAAATATTGGATATCAGAAGCCTACCTTTTCCCGGTAAGATCACAACATCAATGTTGATTTGAATTGACAAATACTGCGTGTTTTCAATGTGTAAGACTTTAACATTTTCTGCCAGGTTTTGGTAAATATTCATAATTTAGAGGCGGAAGGATAACAGGTTGGTTACGGTGATATGTACGGCGAATAGCTTTACATAGTTTAGTTTGACCATTTGTTTCTCTGTCTGAATTGAAAAGCATTCAACCCAACGAAAATTTGGTGAATACTTGGAGCCGGGCAAAGAGACCAGAATCAACATTGAAGTCAATGGGGAAATTAATGGTGGTCTGCCTCCACTTAGAAAGGCAAGGGAGGTGACTCCATTTAAGTCCTCAGAAAAGATTACTTTACCTAACAAAGAATTATGTTTCTCGATTTAATTAATAATATTAACATAATCACTGAAGCAGAACTTTTGGGTAATATAAATATTCTGCATTTTCTATATTCCAAAGTTGTCAGATAAACACGTGTATTTTTTGTGCTTTTCTTTTTTTTTTTTACTTTCGTTTTAATTGAATTTTCTGCGCTACAGCCGGAAGCCGGTTGTCGTTTGTTTATTTTTTTCCGCGAGTTTTGAGTTCTGACTTTGTTTCTAATTTTAACCGTGAAAAACTGCTAAGTTAGTTAAAACAGTGGCCATAACATTTACATGTTTCTTGGCGTTTAAGAGAAAATGCCTGAGATCAAATTACAGCACGTTGTTTCTTGTAGCAGCGAAGACAAGGTAATAAATCTATCTAAAATATATAAATAAATAGTTGTCAACAGTAATGAGTAACACAATTCAACCCCCATCATTACCAGTACTACACTGACTTAGTCTTAATATGCGTTTCACACACTTAGCCACTGTGACCCCCTTCTATCAAGCAACAGGCCCCACTTGGTAAACCAAAACGTCCGCAATAATAACAAAGTTACCTACTTGAAGTCTCTATTGCACTTTCGTACCTCTACCAGTTCCCGTGGTCGTAGGAACTTGAAATTATTAGAGGATGTTAAGGGGGACTAGCAATGACCACACACCAAATTTCAGCCGAATCGATCAATAACTTTTTATTTTACCGACCTTTTAATTTCTAACGAGAGAGAACTTCATCTGTTTGACGCCATTTGCTTTGTTTACTATTTAGACTCGAATAACAAGACACTAAGACGGAAACCGACACACTGCACTAGCTGCCTATCTCTGCAGTTCATAAAAATTAATATAATTTTCGTATACTTTAATTTTTGCGCGAAGCCACCATGTTCTATAAAATACTATTTGGTGTTGATCAGTGGATTGGCCTTTAGGTGTGAATATTGCCGTGACCTTGATTTTGACCTTGAGTCTTAACTTCCCATCCATATCAGGGCCTTTGCGTTTATGATTGCCGTGGCCTTATTTCTTACTGTATTTTTAAAGTTAATGTTCGAGGTGAAAGCAGAGACGACGTCCTTCAGAAAAGATAATTGGGTCAAAGTCGTAGGTCAAGGTCATGTTACAGAAAACTAAACTCAAACTTTTCAAAGTCATTTTTGGGACATTTGACCTTGACTTACAACCTTGACCCCGTAACCATTTTCGAAGGCTATCACCTTGGCTTGAATCATGGACATTTACCTTGGTTCTGTCACACACTGCTCGGTCAGAAAAGGGTCAAACGGAGAGGGGCCCGTGTAGGAAAGGAAGTAAATGGCGTGGTCAATGTGAAAGGTCGTGGTGACCTCCACTAGTCACCGTTAACCATCCGTGACCTTGACCCAGACCTAGAGTCCGAACTTCCTTTGCGTTTATGCGTGCCGTGACCTTATTTCTTACTGTATTATCAAAGTTAATGTTCGAGGTGAAAGCAGAGACGGCGTCATTCAGAAAAGATAATTGGGTCAAAGTCGTAGGTCAAGGTCATGTTACAGAAAACTAAACTCAAACTTTTCAAAGTCATTTTTGGGACAGGGCCAGGGTAAACGTCGTCGGTTCAAGCCAAGATGATGGGCTTTGAAACTGGTTACGGGTCAAGCTCGTAAGTCAAGGTCAAATGTCCCAAAACTGACCTTGAAAAGTTTGAGTTCAGTTTTCTATAACATGACCTTGACCTACGACTTTGACCCAATTATCTTTTCTGAGGGACGTTGTCTATGCTTTCACCTCAAGCATTAACTTTGATAATACAGTAAGAAATAGGGTCACGGCAAGCATAAACGAAAAGGGCCCGAGATTGATGGGAAGTTTGGACTCAAGGTCGAAGTCAAGGTCACGGATGGTTAAAGGTGACTAGTGGAGGTCACCACGAACTTTCACATTGACCACGCCCTTTGACTTCCTTTCGGACACGGGCCCCTCTGCGTTTGACCGTTTTCTGACCGAGCAGTGTGCGACAGGGCCAGGGTAAACGTCGATGGTTCAAGCCAAGATTATGGGCTTTGAAAATGGTTATGGGATCAAGGTCGTAAGTCAAGGTCAAATGTCCCAAAACTGACTTTGAAAAGTTTGAGTTCAGTTTTCTGTAACATGACCTTGACCTACGACTTTGACCCAATTATCTTTTCTGAAGGACGTTGTCTCTGCTTTCACCTCAAGCATTAACTTTGATAATACAGTAAGAAATAGGGTCACGGCAAGCATAAACGAAAAGGGCCCGAGATGGATGGGAAGTTTGGACTCAAGGTCGAAGTCAAGGTCACGGATGGTTAAAGGTGACTAGTGGAGGTCACCACGAACTTTCACATTGACCACGCCCTTTGACTTCCTTTCGGACACGGGCCCCTCTGCGTTTGACCGTTTTCTGACCGAGCAGTGTGCGACAGGGCCAGGGTAAACGTCGATGGTTCAAGCCAAGATTATGGGCTTTGAAAATGGTTATGGGATCAAGGTCGTAAGTCAAGGTCAAATGTCCCAAAACTGACTTTGAAAAGTTTGAGTTCAGTTTTCTGTAACATGACCTTGACCTACGACTTTGACCCAATTATCTTTTCTGAAGGACGTTGTCTCTGCTTTCACCTCAAGCATTAACTTTGATAATACAGTAAGAAATAGGGTCACGGCAAGCATAAACAAAAAGGGCCCGAGATGGATGGGAAGTTTGGACTCAAGGTCGAAGTCGAGGTCACGGATGGTTAAAGGTGACTAGTGGAGGTCACCACGAACTTTCACATTGACCACGCCCATTGACTTCCTTTCGGGCACGGGCCCCTCTGCGTTTGACCGTTTTCTGACCGAGCAGTGTGCGACAGGACCAAGGTAAACACCCATGAATCAAGCCAAGTTGATAGCCTTCGAAAATGGTTACGGGGTCAAGGTCGTAAGTCAAAGGGAAATGTCCCAAAACTGACTTTGAAAAGTTTGAGTTGAGTTTTCTGTAACATGACCTTGACCTACGACTTTGACCTTTTTAACTTTTCTGAAGGACGTTGTCTCTGCTTTCACCTCAAGCATTAACTTTGATAATACAGTAAGCAATAGGGTCACGGCAAGCATAAACGAAAAGGGCCGGAGATGGATGGGAAGTTTGGACTCAAGGTCAAAGTCAAGGTCACGGCAATATTTACACCTAACGGCCAATCCACTGATCAACACCAAATAGTATTTTATAGAAAATGGTGGCTTCGCGCAAAAATTAAAGTATACGAAAATTATATTAATTTTTATGAACTGCAGTGTTAGGCAGCTGGTGCAGTGTGTCGGTTTCCGTCTAAGTGTCTTGTTATTCGAGTCGGTTTCCGTCTTAGTGTCTTGTTATTCAAGTCTAATTAGTAAACAAAGCAAATGGCGTCAAACGGATGAAGTTCTCTCTCGTTAGAAATTAAAAGGTCGGTAAAATAAAAAGTTATTGATCGATTCGGCTGAAATTTGGTGTGTGGTCATTGCTAGCCCCCCTTAACATCCTCTGAAAATTTCAAGTGCCTACGACCACGGGAACTCGTAGAGGTACGAAAGTGCAATAGCGCCCTGAGCTGTTGGCCACCAAGGCAAATTGGCAATAGGCTATATATTATATAGGTAGAATCCTGTGTTAGACTCCATTGGAAAGTGGAAGTAAACCAAGTTATCCTGGTGGACTCCTGTGCTGTACTGTACAGGGCAATAGTTTTCCAATGTCGGCATTTGTAGTCTACCACATAATTAAAGATTTGCAATAATAATGTAATGTTGGAGTTACTGGTAGTTTCTACACTTTAGGCTACTAACAATGAAATAAAATGGTGTTTTACATTTAAGAACCAATCAGGCTATCGAAGGTGTCCGATTATACCACATGCATCATGTTATGTGGGAAATGTTACCCAAACAGCAGCGTTTCCAACTGTCACAAGCCCTTTTATATCCATGCACCAATGAGAAGGCCCTACAGCCTACACAGGTGGACCTTGTTTTTACGTCGCATGCATAGATGCCCTTTCCTTTCCTGTACCACTAGTCATCATGGCTCCGAAATCCCTGCATACTAACATATGATACTTGTATGTCTTGAATAATCTGTTTCTTAATTAATTATGAGTCATGTCATTTCAGAATAATCCTGCAGAAAATCTGTTAAAATCTGACGGGACTCACAAATGGAAGAGCGCAACATCTGGCTTAAAACAGGGGACAGTAGTTTTACAGTTTGAGAAATCCTCCCAGATACAGTCTATAGATATCGGGAATGATGGTGCTGCTTTTGTTGAAATTCTCGTTGGAAAATCTACGGCATCCACGGACCAAGAATATCAGGTAAATTGCACACAAAAAAAAGTCTGAGATAATCACAGCAACAGTTAATTTTTATGAAATGTTTAAAGCCGCTGTCCCAGCATCAGATCTTAATTTTATGTGGAAAACTCCTTGATACAATGTACCTGTATCCTATTCTTGTTCAACTACCCGAATCTCCGTGGTATTTTTTTTCATAGAAATCTGAACTTTCGTTTTCCATATGTTTTGGGTGAGATGCCCCCAATTTCTGCACTAACATTTGGATAGCCATGTCCAATACTTGCATGTGTCATAGTGATTGGTAAGTAACACGTCACTCATGGTAGAATCCCTTAAATGTGTTACATAACCCTGTTAAGCATATTTAATCTTCGAAACGACTGAATATTTTGAGCAGAAAATTTTCGATAAGCTATTTCGTCCTTTTCTGCACATTTTGACTTGTAAATTGTATACTTAATCTGGGAATTCCCCTTTAAGAAAAGATAGACATGTATTTAATTTGTTATTATTATACATCGACTGGTTATTGTTATTTGGTTTTAATTCTACTCAGGTGATATTAATGGCATCAACGTTTATGACTCCCATAGAAAGTAGAAATGGTAATAATCGTAATGCTGTCAGAATGTTCGGGGTCGATAAACTGTCAAAGGCTGTTGCAGGACAGAAATGGGATCGTGTAAAGATTGTCTGCACACAGCCCTTTAACAAAGTAAGTTATAAAACAAAAAGATACCAGGACATTGTATTATTTAATAACTTTATTATGATAATTAAAATAGCTTATTTTAATAATTAAACAAACTTATTTTTGAAATTAAAAACACTTATTTTGACAATTAAAAACACTTATTTTGACAATAAAAATAACTTTTTTTGACAATTAAAATAACTTATTTTCAGAATTAATCCCTTATTTTCAGACTTAGAATAACTTTATAATCGGAATTTTATTAAGTTTTTTTGAAAATTAAAAGAACTTTATTATGGGAATTTTCTTAAGTTTTTGGGGTTGAAAAATATATATTATTATCCATAAAAAAAATATGAAAGTATTAATGAAAAATAATACACTGATTTGGGTGGCATGTACATGTAAGTCTCTTGTTTTTTGTTAATTTTCAGAATACACCATATGGCTTGTCTTTCATCCGATTTCATTCTCCATCGGATGGTACAGAAGAAACACAGGTACCAATATTTTATACAATACTAGACTCTTGAAACAGATAGATTGTTATAAACAAGATAACAAGTTGTCAGCATTTGACAAGTTGAACTTGACATATGTTATTCTAATTTCTTCGAAATGTTCTGTGAAATCATCAGGTTTGGGAAGGAGTTGCGTTAAGATGGGCTGGATAAATGTAGCACTGTTTATATGGAATACTGTAACTGGTTTGTTACACATATAGTATGACATTTCATGTAATATATGTGGAGCCATGGTGGCTAAGTGGATAAGAGGCTGGCCCGCTAGCCTGGAGGTCGCATGTTCGATCCCTTCATTGGCTGAGAAAGTTAATCATGATTTTCCAACGTGCTTTCCTCTTGTCAGTGGTGCAGGACAGAGGGCCTGACAAGGACAATTGTCAAGTCGTTCAGATGGTTGCGAAAAACCCAGGCACCGTGTATACATTGGTGTGCATGTGAAAGATCCCTTTGCAGATGGAATTTGATACAAGATAAGGCCATAGTGCCAGTGACCGGACAAAATTTCCCTCATATCACACTGTATGGTGTATGTCTGTCTTCATTAGTCCATTCAGACCCATTTTATTTATTTCCAGGTATATATTATTATAAATTGTGTTGTGTTTTTGTTACACTGCATGCTGTATGTCCATCTTTATTAGTCCAGCAATTGGGTCGCCAGTCGAACACCGTGGTTCTCTCTGGGTCCTCTGATTTCCTCCCACTGCTAACAACCCCTCCACACGGCAAGCAATTTATAAACTTGTACATGTTAGTCACGAGATTAGTATGTTTTGAGTGGACATAAAACCCTCCCTCTCTCTCTCTCTCTCTCTCTCTCTTTCTTTCTGTTGTGTAATAATGACATCAATATTTTTGTAGAAACCTATAAAGAAACTGGGAGCTTTTACAATAAAATCTGAAGATGGTGATAATATAAAAGCTGGTTCACTGTTTGCTGATCGTACAAAAGATAAACCGACTGAGTCCACTCCATTAAAAGGTAACATTTCATTATTTAAAAACACTCTTGTGAGCCACAGTGACTCAATGAGAAAGGCACAGGCTCACTGTCCAGAAGGTTTGGGTTTGATCCTGGTGGTGGCCAAGAAAGTTCATCAGGATTTTCCGGTGTTGTTCCCCATTGTCAGTGGTGCAGGACAGAGGGCCTAGCAAGAGACAACATATATAGTCGTTCATATGGGCTGAAAAACTGAGGTCTTGCGTTCACAATGGCGCACACTTTAAAGATCCCTTGGCAGTTGGAATTCGTTATAATAATAGTATGCAGTAGAGTCACTGCTCGGGTAAAATTGCCCTGTCCAACCTCGTGGGTTTTCTCTGGGTCCTCCGGCTTCCTCCCACTGCTAAAGGCCCCTACGCGCAGGCGAATTATTGAAATAAATTTGAAGAATATGTTTGTCCCAAAATGTGTCGAGTGAAGTTAAGCCCCATCTCTCTCTCTCTTATGGAATTGGACATAAAAGTAGACCATAGTGTCGCTGCCCAGGCAAAATAGCCCTCTTAGCCCACTGTGTGGCGTATACCCATCTTTATTAGCCAAGTCAGAGCAGAACAGTGGGACGCTAAAACCCACTGCATTTCATTTTCGTGAAGATATGATGAATTGAATATTTTGCATCATTCTGCATCCTATGCAGTTAATATAATCAAGACAGCGTCACCTAGATATGTATTACTCAAAATATTTTGATGGCTCTCTTTGGAGTTTACCTTTCTTTTTGTTTTCTTGATTAAATCAATGTCTTACTCACTACTGAACTTATGCATTTATAACATGCACTATGTTGTTTCAGTGTTTCTCATCTTTAGCTCTCTTTAACATGGGGGGGTTGGATGGCAGAATGGTTAGCACATGCGCGCTGTATCATAAGGTCTGTCATTCGAATCCCCTGTTGTACGTGACAAGGAGTAGGGTCGCCTGTCCAGCCTTGTGGGTATTCTCCGGGTCCTCCAGTTTCCTCCTACTGCTAAAGACCCCTACGCGCAAGCAAATTATTGAAATTGAACCATGTGTTAGTCACGAAATGACCTAGTTTGTGTCGAGTGGACGTTAAACCCCATTTCTTTCTCTCTCTCTTTAACATGTTTGATTGATTGATTGAATGTAATTATATTTTTGTTATTATATTGATTGATTGATTGATTGAATGTAATTATATTTTTGTTATTATATTGTAATAGTGTACATATTTCTTTTGTCTTATTTCTTTTTGGAGAGAGGGATTATATAGGCCTGTTTCCCAATCCTAAAATTAAATAAAATGTTGTTTATAAAAAAAAAAACTTGATTTATTTTTAAGGTGCCGCAGCTATCCGAGCTGTATCTAAGCTAGTTGAAGAGACGAGATCACCATCAACCATTGAAAGAAAAACAGCATCAACACCTTCACCTTCTGCCTCCGTCTCTACATCATCATCATCATCATCATCATCATCTAAACCAAGTCCTTCAACTGTGAGTATTACATTTTTTACAGGAATTAGGTCAATATAAGTGTTGAATTAGGTTGATCTGGGGTTAATGTTCAGATTAGTGTTGGGGAGGCATGGAAATAAAGCACCCCGCTATCACCACACCATAACTTCGATACGCGAATAGTGTGTGTGCATGTTACATACTGGCTTAGTAAGATCGTGTCCTATCAGGGTCCGACTGAGATTTTTTAAGTCATAGCGAGGTCGTGGTGTTTGTTTAAAGTTGGTATAACCATTGATAGGGTCACCTGTTCAATCTCAGGGTTTGTCTGATAATTATTGAAGTGTTAGTCCCGAAATGATCTAGTTTGTGTTAAACCACATGTCTCTCCTACCACACCTATAAAATACAAAATTTCCATTTTCAAAAATATTAGCCTAGATTTTTTTTTCATAGATCTGGGTTCGAGTTCACAAAGCATTCTCAGACTTAAAATAAGAATTTACTCTCAATCACTGTTTATGAGAAATATCTTTGATCCAGAAATATAAAACATTGCACATATTTCCTTATTGATGTATTTGATACATTACAACAACAAAAGTTTTATAAAGGGCTAAATTTTAGATAAAATAAGGCAAATAATTTTTAGTAAAGTCAGATAATGCTTTATGAACTCGGGGCTATGAGGGAAATTTTGCCTGAACAGCACCACTAAGGCCTACTCTTATATCAAAATCCAACTGTCAAGGGATCTTTTATGTGCCCACTGGACCTCGGTTTTTCATCAAATGCAAAAGACTAGACAGCTGTCCTTGTCAGGCCCTCCATCCTGCATCACTGACAAGGGAGAACCATGCCGGAAAATCTGGATGAACTTTCTTGGCCAATGCAGGGATCAAACACCCAACCTCCAGACTAGCGAGCCAGCGTCTTACCCACTTAGCCACCGTGATCCCCATCTTGTGATGGTGATATATTTCACATTTAGTAGAGATTGTTCATTTTGATATAAGAAAAACTTGTGTTGTAATATATATAAAATCAATGATATTGAATCTGATGAATATTTTATCATTGAATTCGTTGACATTTACCGGTAATGTTATTGATCATGCCATTAATTTATAAAAAAAGCCATCTATTCAACATTATTTGATGTTAGAAGATCATGTTTCAATGTTAGTAGATTTAGATTACATAACAACAATATCAAGTTTAACATCTTAATTAAAACCTCTCACCATTTTGATGGATTGAATGGTTAAATAATATAGAAATCTAAATTAGGTCTTCCATGCTTTGTGATCATTCACATGGTGATATCTAGTATTTTATCACTAGTCTAAATTTGGTTATCTTTCATAATCGCACACGATATTATGGATTTCATTTAAAGATGCATTTCCACGAAAGTATTAATAATAAAAAAGAGAGAGAGAAATGGGGTTTAACGTCCACTCAACACAAACTAGGTCATTTCGGGACTAACATATGGTTTAATTTTATTACAATAATTTGCTTGCGCGCAGGGTTCTTTAGCAGTGGGAGGAAACCGGAGGACCCGGAGAAAACCAACGAGGTTGGACAGGCGACCCTACTCCTTGTCACGTACAAACATGGAATCGAAACCACGCCAGTTGACTTAATGATAGACCTTATGATACAACGCTCATGTAACCATTCGGCCATCCAACTTGGTAAATATGGAACGAAAGTAGAGCCACTCAATCTTTATAGAAAAAAATGGTTTTAATTTAAAGATGCATTCCCTCGAAAGTATTCGTAGGGTAGTGATTTCATATAAAAATATGGTATACTAGGCAAGTAGAAACACGCAATCTTACTAGAAAAATACCGGATTCCCTGAAGAAGAAATTGGTAGAGAGGATAATCCAAGAATTTACTTCCATATTTATGGTAAATGGACCTGACAAACATGGCAGCTTGAAATAGAATTTTACAGCTTGGGAGGATTGTTTTCCAATTATAATTCGATTAGAGTGTGTTTGAAGGAAACTTTTGATAGATCATTTGTATGTCAGGTAGAGATTGTTTATAGGGTTTTTTTTTAGCAGTTCTTGATGTATTCTGCTGTGATTTGTCCATTATGGGACACCAAGAAAACATAAAGTCATCTCAACAAAAAGTCGTCTCAATGTATTGTCAAGAAAGTTCACAATTTGAGCATCCACACAATATGAGCAGTTACATGATAATGAGCAGCTAGCTGCATATCAACAACATAATATGAGCAACTAGCGACATACTGTGAGCAGCCACATGATATTAATTAGCAGCTACATGATAATGAGCAGCTAGCTACATTTCAGCAACATAATATGAGCAGCTAGCTAGATATGAGCAGCTACATTGTATGAGCATTTGAGCAGCCATATGTATCAATAATAAACCAACCATAATATTATTGTGTATTCTTGGTATGGTACCATAATATTACCCAGTATTAGAAGTAATTGAGATATTTATTGATGATAAACCAACCAGAATGTTATTCTATATTCTTGGTACTGATATATAATTAGGATTAACTTAGAGTACATCCATACTGATATCAATATATTATTTATCAATATCTTTTACAGACAGGTGCACCCTTCATAAACATCCTTTCTATAACACAAGTTGCGTGTCTGACTCTGATTGGCTACATTAATTATTAAGTGAAAACCTATCAGATCTCACGATCAATTGTAGGTCAAGGTATTATGTGGTGTTGTCATTATTCATTTAGAAAAATGTACTTGTCACTCCGTTAAAAAAAAATGTTACCATTCAATATGCTAAAATAATGTACCAGCCAGTCCTCTAAAAAAATGTACCAACCTATTCTTAGAACATAGTACGTAGTTCTTCGTCACTTCGTCAAATTAATTACACAATAGGGGGTAGTTAACATTTTAAAAACGTCACACTTAACGGGTTAAGAAAAGAAGGCTTACATGCTTGATAACGACAAGAGGATACTTGTCGAAACGTCGTGCTTTTAGAATAAAACCAGTGATTGTTTCCCATAAAAATTGTGTTCTGTTATCGTGTTCCCCAATCACTAAACGCCACTTAAAGATTATCTTGAATCTGCCCTGTATCAACTATAAGGGGGATTGGATGGCCGAATGGTTAGCATGTGCGCGCTGTATCACAAGGTCTGCCATTAAGTCAAGTGTCATGGTTTCGATTCCCTGGTTGTACATGACAAGGAGTAGGGTCTCCTGTCCAACCTTGTGGGTTTTCTTCGGGTCCTCCGGTTTCCTCCCACTGTTAAAGATCCCTGCGCGCAAGCAAATTATTGGAATAAAATTTAACCATGTGTTAGTCCCAAAATGACCTAGTTTTTGTCAAGTGGACGTTAAACCCCATTTCTCTCTCTCTCTCTGTGTATCAACTATGTTATCAAGTGCTAATACACAGTTATGTTGTCATGATGACAATAGACTTCAAAAGATGCATAATGGGGCTTTTCTGGACCGTGAAATGTGTCTCAAGCACTACTCATCAAATATGATTCAATTGTTCTGAGGGTATAAGTTGTTGAGCTCAATCAAAGGAAACATTTATTTTATTTATTTATTTATTCTTCCAAGAGGCATATCATACATGACAATATAGATGATCATATGAAGTTACATGATAATAAGATGAGAAAGTTTTGATGAGAGAAAAAGTAATGATGTCATGGATGACCAGCCTCTTGAGGATAACCCATAAAAACCTGCTTAAAATAAAACTAGGTTTATTTCCAATGGGGTCCTTGGAGGAGGATCAGGTTATGTCATCATAGAGGGGCAGATTCATTTATGAAAGATGAAGGATGGAATATGACAATAAATAGTGAAATGTGTGTGTACCATAAGGGATGTGAAGTACAAAGAGGTATGAAAGACATCGGGGTATACATACATAAACTAAAACATTTGTATTTGTTTTCCTAGCAAGTGTTGTTTAACATTTTTCTTAAAAGTGCCAATGTTCTCTATTGATTTAAGTTGGTTTGGAAGTTCATTCCAGGCCAGAATACTTGAATAGTAGAAAGTTGAGTATTGGGTATTATTTTTGCATTTTGGTACAACATAATTATAAATGCTTGATCTAGTACTATGTAGATGAGTATCCCTCACTAAGCGAAAACTGGCTTTCATGTACACCGGAGACACATTATGAAAGATTTTGTGAACATGGTTCAGTTTCAGTTGTTTGACTCTATTATCAAGATTTAAACTATTTAAATCTTTGTACAAATTTTGGGTAATTGAATCTCTGGGACCTAAGCCGTGTATGAATCGGATAACTTTGTTGTGAATAATTTGTAGTTTGTTCTTCAGCTTCTTGTTTAAGCCTGAGAACCAAGCTGAACATGCATAATCTAAGTGGCATTGTATAAGAGCATTGGTTAATAATTTCCTAGTATACTTTGTTAAAGACTTGTTATACCTATATAAAAATTTCAATCTGATATTGACCTTTTTAATAATATTATTAACTATTAATTCACCAGAGAGACAATGATCAATATATAGACCTAAATATTTTACACTATCTGTTGCCTGAATGACATGATCATTACACACTATTTCAAAACTACTAGTTTTCTTTAGTTTTCTACTTGGGCCAAATAACATGCATTCAGTTTTACCTAAATGGAGGGATAATTTGTTGTCTACTAACCAGTCTGAACAAGCCTTTAAGGCTTCGCTAAGTTTTAAAGATACTATTTCAGGATTTGGATGTGAAAACAGGATTGCACTGTCGTCAGCATATAAGATTAATTTACAAGGGGCAGGTATCCTAATGATCATGTCATTCACATAACAGAGAAACAACAAGGGACCCAGGATGCTGCCCTGTGGAACTCCACAAGAAATGTCCAAGGGGTCTGAGAGAGTTTTACCAACGTTGACAACTTGTTTCCTGTTGGAAAGATATAACGAAACCATCCTGTGGATCGGACGCCGATCATTTCAAGTTTTTTACACAAGATATCATGGTCGACTGTGTCAAACGCTTTTTGCAGGTCCAATAGGACCATACCGGTAAAATTCCCTTTAACATTTTGATCCTTGAGATGATCCAACAAACTGATCAAACATGTGTCAGTTGAATGGCTGCCCCTGATCCTGTGGATCGGACGCCGATCATTTCAAGTTTTTTACACAAGATATCATGGTCGACTGTGTCAAACGCTTTTTGCAGGTCCAATAGGACCATACCGGTAAAATTCCCTTTAACATTTTGATCCTTGAGATGATCCAACAAACTGATCAAACATGTGTCAGTTGAATGGCTGCCCCTGAAGCCAGATTGTTGTTCATATAATAAATTATTGTCTTTCAAATGAGTCTCCAGTTGTATATAAACAGCTTTTTCCAGAATCTTTGACACAATACTGAGAATGCTCACAGGCCTATAGTTGCTCACAAGAAGAGAACTGTTTTTTTTATATAATGGTTTGACCCTAGCTAATTTCAGTTCATCCGGAACGGAATTCTCTGAAATGGATAAATTGATCAAAAATGTAATGGGTATTTTAAGGACATCAGCACCATCTTTTAAAAAGCGAGCTGGAATGTCATCTAGACCTGTACTTTTGGCAATGCTAAGTGATTGAAGCTCTTTATGTACAAAATCTTCTGAAACATGATGCAGGCTAAAATTAAGACTGTGAACATTACCAGTTCTGTTGTCATAGAAATCTGAAAAAAGTGTAGAATTATAATCATAAATAGAGGTAGGTATAGGTAACTGTCGAACTAGTGTTGAAGCGACAGTAGTGAAGAATTCATTGAAGAGATTTGCAACAGTTTTCTGGTCATGGACATTCACACCATCATTGGATATTACAATATTACCATTTGCCTCTTTGCCATTCTTATAGCCAAATTCTTTTAAATTTTTCCATAAATTTTTGGGGCTATTTTTGTGTTCGTTCAGTTTATTAGTCTAACCTCTTTCACTGGAGCAACCAAATTTAAGATTTCCAAAAAAGTACTTTTAAAGCCCAACCACACTTCATTGACGTTGCCTAAATTGAAACAAGTTTCCCAATTTGCAAAAGTTAGCTTTTCTATGAATTCATCCCGATCATAATTTTTGAGAGATCGAATTTTCACAGTATTATGCAGATTTATAGGAGTTTTTGTACATTTCCTAATACAGTATGTTATGAAATGGTCACTCAAACCTGAATGGATTACCCCAGATTTCAAAATTTTTTCAGGAAAATTACATATGATATGGTCGATAATGCTTTTCGTATTCAGAGTAATTCTGGTATAATCGGAGATTATTTGAGTAAAGTTAAACAGCTTCAAAAGATCTAAGTAATTTTTACATTGCACGGTTTCAGTCTTGGTAACGCATATGTTCAGATCACCAAGAATAATAGTTTCATAGTCTGTTTTAAGATTTGAAAGGAATTCTTTGAAAGAAGTTAGGAAATGATTATGGTTTGGAGGTCTGTACACAACACCCACTAGAAGAGGTTTGGATTTCGGCAACAGAAGATCGATAAACACAAATTCCTCATTAGTGTCACCCAGGTCTGTTCTATTAGTTGAAGCAAGGTCAGATCGGACATATAAACACACACCACCGCCATGCCGGTTTCTGTCTTTTCTAATGATGTTGTAGTTCTGGATGTAAATTTCGTCATTTGTAATACTATCGTCTAACCAAGTTTCACTAACAGCTATGACCGCTGCATTTACTTTCGAAGCAATGAGTCGGAGTTCAGAGAGTTTAGGTAGGAGTGAGCGTGCATTTAAATGTATAAACTGCAAGCCTTTCTTAGGTAAATCATCAAAGACAGAGTCAGAGATCACAGAATATTTACTCTTTACATCGCTACAGGAAGGCCCGGAATTAACTACTGATACTGAAGAATTCCAAAAAGGCAAGGATTGAAGTGTACACAAATTGCAAATGGAGGAGTCATTACTGCATTGACATGATGAGGGTAATTGGAGTGACCTTTTACCTGCAAGTTTTCTTGGGTTGACAGCGTTACTGAGAGTTTTATCTTGAAACGGGCCGGGATTTTGCTGAATATCACCACATAGGAGGATGAAACATGTTATTAGGGTCCAGTATTGAAAAGAAAGTGTCTTTAATTCTGAATTTGACTTGTAAAGTTTTCTTCCTTGCAACCATAGCGTGAATGTAAACAAACGGCCGCCATTGTGAGTCTGCTCACTCTTGTTTACCGATGAAAAAACATTAGATTTAATGAAGTTACCAGACTTAAAACCACAGAAACTGAAGTCCATCCAATTCCCTGCACACCTCCCTGCATCTCCACAATGCCCATAGCGCACACACATTAAACTATTTGTGAAAAATGATGAAATGATGATGAATAAAATGAATCTGCCTCCTCCCATGACACTGACCTTCTTTTACATTCCTACATTTAAAACTGTGTCTGAAATTTTTCTGATTTATTCAGCTCAGAACTCACTGCTAGTCAAATGACTTGGTTGCTGGGGAGCATATTTTTTCATTGCCTGGCAACCTGTGTTATTATTTTTCAGGTGAAACGTAAACACAGTGGCAGTGATGATGAAGAAAAAAGACCACAGATTAAAGCTCCACTACGTAAACAATCTACTAGTCTATCATCTGTTTCTAGTAATAAAAGTCATGAAGATAAAGCACCACCTCTAAAAAAGATTAAATGTAAGTTGAATATAAGTAGATCAAACGTCCGAGACCTAGTACAATAAGCTCTGTTTGAGAACAAGCACATAGCTGAGAAATGTTTTTGAAGCTTCTATTGTCATGATTAATGAAACTGAAAATGATAACTTAGTCTCTGTGACAGATGTTGAACGGATTTGAACCACATAACACAATAGTACATTAATTGTTTAATCGTGAAAAATGCATGGGTTAGATTAAACTGCAATGTAATCGATTAAATTAAAATTACTTTCATATTAGTAGGATTACAGCTATTATGCCATGTAATCAATTAAATTAGTGATTACTTTCGATCTATCCCCACAGACAGCCCAGATTATCTGTCACTTTTATAAGAGTAGATAACATTTTCCTTACATTAATGTACTCTCAAACATAGTAGTAGTTATAGTATTATATATTTTAGTAAAACAGCACCCAGCTTTATTATTATTAACTATTTTAGCTAAAACAGTCATTATTATTATTATTGTTGTCATTATTATTATTACCTATTTTAGCTAAAACAGTCATTATTATTATGATTATCTATTTTAGCTAAACCTGTAAAACAGTCCCTATTATTATTATTATTATTTTTATCTATTTTAGCTGAACCAGTAAAACAGTCCCCAATAAAAGAGTTTAGTAAATTAATGGAGAAAGTAATATTTGCTATGAGTGGTTATCAGAATCCATATCGAGGAGAATTACGTGATAAAGCTCTAGAAATGGGAGGAACATATAAACCTGATTGGGGACGCGGTTGTACTCATTTAATGTAAGTATAATAAAACTATCATTTCGGCAAACTCCAAAGCTAGACACCCAGAAAAATTTGAAAGGTTTCTAGGTAAAGGCTGCTTAAAAAAAACATAATTAAAATAAAACAACACAGTTGACCCATGAGAAGACTGAGACTACATGTATGTTTGATCTTCAACATTCTTATCCAGTCTGTTGCTCGTATTTATTAGCCAAGTCAGAGCAGAACAGTAGGCTGTCAAACTCCATTTCATTTCATTTCCTATCCAGTCTGTTGCCCGTCTTTATTAGCCAAGTCTGAGCAGAACAGTTGGATGTTAAACCCCATTTCATTTCCAATCTGTTGATCGATGAGCAAGGCACTGGCTCCCTAACCAGAAGGTCCTAGGTTTCATTCAGGTGATGGCGAAGGCTTAGATGGCACCTTAAGGCAGGACACTACCTTATAAAACACTCTGTATAGATTGATCTGTCAAATTTTGATATCAGCTAAAATTGCCCAAAATAGTTGAAATTTGTTGATTTTTCAAGTCGTGTCCAGCCTTTATATTATATAGTGTTAAATATTTAGTCATTTTTTTAGGTAAATCAAATTTTTAACTTTTAACTTGCTTTTTCCCGTACTCAATTTTTCACCCATATCAGGTCTTAGAAAATCAAATTCTCAAAATCTATGAGAGATAATGGTCTCATTTTTGGAATACAATTAGTGTTATAGCTACTGTTTGCAATAAGGTGATTTTCAAAGTGTTTGTTATACATTTGGACATTTTATTGTACAAAATCCTTTTAGTGGTGTGTTCGGCCACACCCACTTGTTTTATGTGGGATGCATAATGTTCTTTATTAACATTCAAATAGTAAAATTTATGCCTTATTGCACTCTTTAATGCCTATATATGTTATTCCAAATCACAAATAGTTTGTTTCAATAAAATTGTTGAAGATTTTGATTTCCTAACATAGCCACCGTGAATATATAAAAAAATCCAATATGGCCACCATTTTCATGACAACAAATAAATATTTTGCGCTCAAATTATCAAATCTGATTTGGGACATCATATACTGATATTACACTAAATGGCAAGTTTCTGTTATCAATGTAAAATTCTTAGGTAGTGTCCTGCCTTAAGGTTTACCTACCTGATTTGCCCACATCACTGGTACAGGCCAGATGGACTGGCAAGGAATGATGTCTAGTCGTTTGAATTGTGAGAATAATCGTTGTCCTGTGTCTCATGTATACCATTGGTGGCTGGTTAAAGATGGCCGAATGGTTAGCGCGTTTGCATTGTATCATATGGTCTGTCATTGAGTTAACTGGCGTGGTTTGGATTCCCCAGTTGTATATGACAAGGAGTAGGGTCTCCTGTTCAAACTCATGTGTTTTCTCCGGGACCTCCGGTTTCCTCCCACTATTAAAGGCCTATACGTGCAAGCAAATTATTGAAATAAAATTAAACCATATGTTAGTCCCGAAATGATCTACTTTATGTCGAGTCGACATTAAACCCCATCTCTCTCTCTCTCTCTCTCTCTCTCTCTCTCTCTCTCTCTCTCCCCCTCTCTCTTTCTCTGATATTTATATACCCAAGTAATGTTAAGCTGTAGTCTGGTTGTACTGAAAATGAAGACATTAAACCCTCATTACATTTCTGTGCCATTTGTTTTTGATGACTGGTAATGACTTGTCTGGTTGTACATTGTGCCTTTCCGAACACACCTAAATATAGCCAGGTAAAAGGTAAAAGATACTATATGTCAAAATGGTATATTAATATATTGTATAGACGTGCCTTCCCTAACACACATAAATATAACCAGGTAAAAGGTACTATAGGTAGTAATAAATGCTATATTTATGTATTATATAGATGTGCCTTTCCTAACACACCTAAATATAACCAGGTAAAAGATACTAAAGGTAATAATACATGATATATTTATATATTGTGTAGATGTGCCTTCCCTAACACACCTAAATATAACCAGGTAAAAGATACTAAAGGTAATAATACATGATATATTTATATATTGTGTAGATGTGCCTTCCCTAACACACCTAAATATAACCAGGTAAAAGATACTAAAGGTAATAATACATGATATATTTATATATTGTGTAGATGTGCCTTCCCTAACACACCTAAATATAACCAGGTAAAAGATACTAAAGGTAATAATACATGATATATTTATATATTGTGTAGATGTGCCTTCCCTAACACACCTAAATATAACCAGGTAAAAGATACTAAAGGTAATAATACATGATATATTTATATATTGTGTAGATGTGCCTTCCCTAACACACCTAAATATAACCAGGTAAAAGATACTAAAGGTAATAATACATGATATATTTATATATTGTGTAGATGTGCCTTCCCTAACACACCTAAATATAACCAGTTAAAAGATACTAAAGGGTAGTAATACATGATATATTTATATATTGTGTAGATGTGCCTTCCCTAACACACCTAAATATAACCAGGTAAAAGATACTAAAGGTAATAATACATGATATATTTATATATTGTGTAGATGTGCCTTCCCTAACACACCTAAATTTAACCAGGTAAATTGTACTAAAGGGTAGTAATAAATGCTATATTTATATATTATATAGATGTGCCTTCCCCAATACACCTAAATACAACCAGGTAAAAGGTACTATAGGTAGTAATAAATGATATATTTATATATTATGTAGATGTGCCTTTCCTAACACACCTAAATACAACCAGGTAAAAGGTAAAGGTAAAATTGTCAACAAGAACTGGATAACAGATTGTTATAAACAGAAGAAATTACTCAACTGGAGAAAGTAAGTATAATAATACATTTAGTGTAGGTCACACCAATTTGAATTTCTGTTCTGTTAATTTATTTATTTATGTGATAATGGCTGACACCAATATTGGCCTTTAATTTACCCATATATACTAAGAATTAAAATGGTTTGGCCATTATGCATTTATTATAGAATGAATTAACATGAGAACTGCAATATACACTGTAACCCAGATATCATTTAATTTCCTGACCATTGTTAAAAAATGAATCCATTGTGTTGTTATTTTTGAACATTGATCGAGAAATTAAACACTTGTAAATTGGACACTCATTATCAAAAATGAAATGTTCAGCTTTAAACTGGACGCAAGTACAAATTAGATGATTTTTGGTGATTTTAAACAATTTTTAAGAATTTTTAAACACAGATTTGATATTGAATAAATGTGAAAGAAATTATTGCTAGATACACAAGATTAAATGATGCCTGGGTTACAGTGTATGTACCTCTGTACACTATACACATGTATATTATGTTTATAGATACCGTGTCGGTGATGCCGATTCTCCAAGTGAAAGTTCAGAAGAGGAAGAACAGATTGTTTGTAAAACTCCAGCTAAAACAACAAGTGAGTCAAATTATTTTTTTTTGAAAATCTATGCTTAATTTTGTAGAAGTTGTTATTGAAAAGGAAAGTGACAACTCCAAAGTATGTTATGGTCATTGTTTGTGGTCAAATCTTTTCTGGAAAAAACAATGATCATTGATCTATTTGGAATCGAAGAAAAAAAAATACAAATTAAATTGCACAGTAAACCTATATCTCAAAAGAACTGTAGTTAGTTATTGTAAACTTTGTATTTAATTATGTTTGGATTAAATTATCTCATTAAATTCAATGGTTGTTATTTTAGAATCACCAGCTGTAAAGAAAACACCTGTTAAAAAAGAGCCAGGTACGATGGTATTTATGTTGAATTTTAGTTATCTTGGTCCGTAATAAATATCCTTGTATAATCAAGTATTGTTACTGAATTTATAAACTTAAAAATGTGGAACTTTACTACAGCTATTTAGAAGAGCAACCTGTCCAAAAAATTCAAACCCTTAAAATAATCCATTATCTTTGACATTAAAAACACAATTTAGAATTTAATATTTGTCCATTTCAATCAGTTTTTATCTTGCCATGAAAACATGGAATCCAAATATCCAATAATTAAGACTTAATGCATATTTTAAAATCAGTTCCCAATGTTGTGTTCTCTGTGGTCCCGATTTCCAATTGTAAAGAGAAGGTTAGATAAATAAATTTCAAAGCAAAATTTGTCCCACATATCGATGCAAAATTAAATTAAAATTAGCTAAATCACAAATAACTAGAAGATAAGTTGCAGAGTAGATTAACCAGGTGCAAATGACTCCCATTCAATTTGGACTGCTCATATTTCACTTAGTTGTACATTAAAGAAAAAACATGGTGTGTGGATATTGAGAATAAGTTTTATACATTAAACATCTGAACAAGTTATAAATTATAACATCTGAATAAGTTATACATTATATAACATCTAAATAAGTTCTACATTATAACATCTGAACAAGTTATACATTATAACATCTGAATAAGTTATCCATTAAAACATCTGAACATGCTCAGAAGTGGTGGATTTTTTAACTGAACATATTATTTTTATATATATTTATCTACATAAGGTCTGTCATTCAATCAACTGGTGTGCTTTTGATTCCCCGGTTGTATGTGACAAGGAGTAGGGGTCGCCTGTCCAAACTCGTGGGTTTTCTCCAGGTCCTCCTGTTTCCTAAAGACCCTACGCGCAAGCAAATTATTGAAATAAAATTGAACCATATGTTAGTCCTGAAATGACCTAGTTTGTGTCGAGTGGACGTTAAACCCCATTTCTCTCTCTCTATTTATCTACTGTAAACATAGAAGTCTACTTATAGTTTGGTTGTTTAACAGGTTGTTTAAATATTTTATAGTTGTTTATGGAGGTGAATCAGATTCTAGTGGAGATACCGAAGATGAATTAGAAAGGTAAATAAATTTTTATATCTACTGTTAATCAACAGCAACTGGGGTGAGGGAGTAGAACTTACTCTTGGTAGAGACTTGTGTATTTGATCATAAGGTCTCTAATTTTGAGAGAAAACTGGTGTGGTTTCGATTCCCCGGTTGTACGTGACAAGGAGTAGGGTCACCTGTTCAACCTCGTGGGTTTTCTCCGGGTTCTCAGGTTTCCTCACACTGCTAAAAACAAATTTAACAAAATAAATTTAAACCATATTTTAGTTCCGAAATGACCTAGTTTCTGTCCAGTGGATGTTAAACACCATTTCTCTCTCGTTTTCCCATTATCAATAATTCTTTATTTACTGTCTACTTAAACATACATTATGCAAGAGCTAAATCTGTCTATTGCAGGTCTTTCTTTAGGCCTGAAATGTTATCTAAATTATTAATTAGACATTAATTAACTTATCCAGACCATAATCAACTCTAGATGGCATCGCTAGCCTGCGATCTTAAGTGGATTGTGAGCCGATTTACTACATAACTTTCCTTCTCGATTAAACGATTAAATAGATAACCGAGACTATGCTGTTTATCGTACTGACTTTAGTAATGATGACCGAGGCTAGGCAGAAATTTCATTTGCTTAGTTTTCGGTTCATAGAGGATCAATTTGAATGAAATTTTCACCAAATTGCCTTTACGTTATTTAGTTTTTAACTATTATAGTGAGAACTGCCAACTCGTTATCGAATCTCCAATAATGTATCTTTAATTTATGCACCTATTCTATTCAGAGCAAGGGAAAAAATAAAGAAACACAAAGCAGAAACTGAAAGTAAAGTAGCAGTGAAAAAGGAAAGCGATGCTGATTTATATGGTGGCTCAACAGATGAAGATGAACCAATTGATAACTCTGTTACCAAAGTAAAGACTAGTCCTAAACCAATGAAAACTGCTGTAACATATGATGAAGAGGAAGGATCAGATGATTCAGGTTTACCAGAATTGCCTGATTTCTTCACCAATAAAACTTTTTTTCTGTATGGAGAATTTTCGGATACAGATAAACGACTGTTGACGAGATACATTACAGCTTACAACGGGTGAGTATCATATTGTAATGAAATGGGGTTAAACGTCCTGTTCTGCACTGGCTAGTCTAATGTAGATGGGCATACACCTTGCCATGTGCTATGAGGTAAATTTTGCCCAAATAGCCGAACTATGGCTAACTTTATTTAAGTTTCCAACTGTCAAAGGTTCTTTTTTTACATGCGCAAGAATTTGTACACAGGACCTCTGTGTTCATACCATCCTGCACCACTGACAAGGAGGAAGCATGCTGAAAGATCCTGAGTAACTTTCTTAGCCAAAGTCTTACTCTTTGATCCACCGCAGCTCTGAGTATCTTAATTGTTAAAGCCTAATGGTTAACACATGCACGCTAGATCAGAAGATCTATCATGAATCAGGTTGCATGGTTTTGATTCCCCACTTTTACATGACAAGGAGTAGGGACACCTGTCCAGCTTTGTCTTTTTTCTCTGTGTCCTTTGGTTTCCTAGCACTAATAAAGACCCCTACGTCCAAGCGAATTATTGAAATAAAATTGAACCATATATTGGTCCCGAAATCACCTAATTTATGGCGAGTGGAAGTTAAACCCAATTTCTTTCTCTCTCTCTCGTATTATGGGGAGCCACTGCTATTGCATTGTCTAAATAGTAGAACCCGCAATGGGCCAAGAAAGTTTCTCAGGATTTTTAAGTCAGTTTAGTCCATGTCATTGGTGCAGGATGGATGTTCTGACATGGAACAGTTTCTCGTCATTTGGTTTGAAGGATTAACCAGTCTCCACGTTTAGGGAGATAAGATAAAGAGCTGGCAGTTCTCACTATAATAGTTAAAAACAAGATACTGTAAAGGGAATTTGCTGTAAATTTTAGTCGAATTGATCCACTCTGATCCGAGATTTTAGCGATTGAATTTTGGGCCTAGTCTCGATTATCCATTTCATGATTAAATCATGAATGAAAGTTGAGCAAAAAATCTGATCGTATTATGAGCAGCAAATCTGATCGTAATCCAGTAAATATCGCA